ACAGGTGCTCGCTCCCTAACCAGCGTCACTGGAAGCAACCTGAGCAGCGCCCTATGCCTTCGTGAGCAAGTCACAGTGAGCAGACAAACGCACCATTATTTAATATACATTTGGCAAACAAAAAATCCTTCAAAGGATCGATTCCCTGTATGGAAGTAACAATATGTTAAAGTGTAGTGCTAAGGAACACGGAACCCACTCTGCAGAGCCGAAACAAAATGGCATCCTGGGCTCTTACCGCAGGATACAGCGGCCCTGCTGAGGCCTGACGCTGGGCGAGGCCAAACCCTACCCCAGGCACCTGCAGGGTGAGGACAGGTCTCCCTGGAGTACAGCCATGCTGTGGGTCTGTGAGCCCTGGGGAGGTGGCTCCAACAGGAACTAGGAACCTGGGAGGGACCTCACTCTGATGGGGTTGGGTCACCCCACCAGGAAGGCCCTGAGGAGGGAGCCCTGGGTGGCAGGGAGATGAGGTCTCTGCTTTGGAAGCTGAAGACAAGTCAATGGGTTTCTGCTCCTCCCACTACTGCTGACTCTGTTTATTTCCCCTCTGTCATCCCGAGCTTTGGTGACTCACTGTCCGCAGAGACTGGATTCTCAGCCGAGGGGATGAAATGTAAGGCAGGGTTAATCCCCTTTTAGGCTGCATGTCACAGAGGAAAAGAGTCGCCTCAGGCCATCGGGGAACCTGGCAAGCTGTCCAGAACTATCCAAGGAGAACCTCCAGCCCAGGAAAGATGAGTCACCGCCCACCTCCCCAGGGAGCAGATCCATGATCCCCGGCTGGACCTGCAGAATCTGGTGTTGACGTTCTCAGGAAAAGCATCAGCATTCACCTTCCATGTTTCATAGGATCTGGTGGTTAATAAGAGATGCACAGGACAGATGGGCATGGACGGTAATGCACACCTTCAGCCGGGCTGCGGAACCCCAGGACAGGTCTGTGGTCTGCAGGAGGTGCCTCCTGGGCAGCACAGGGCGGTGTGGATGCGCAGCCGTCTAGCCTCGCCGGGCCCGCACGGCGGGGTCTTTGGCAGCTCTAAGGCCAGAGCAAACCGGAAGGCGTTCCTGCTTCCTTGTCTGCTGGACCAGCTCCTGCGACTGGCTGGAGAACCTGCTGCTGCCTTCTGTCCACCTTGCTGGGAGTCCCAGAGACAAGCACCAGAGTCCGGCACAGAGGGAGGCACGGTTCCACCGCCAAGCTGGCAACTTGGGGCTCCGTGGCCAGCAGCACTGGCTGAGCTACTGCTGCCTCCGGCCCCACCCACCCGGCCATGGCTACGTGGGCAGTTGGGAGGGGGGGGAGCGGATTTCAGACAGCCACTGCGGAGACTCCACACAGTATGAAAGAGACTTCCTCACCTTCATCTGATCCTCAGCCCCCGAGGAGCTCCAGCCCCAAGAGAAGAGAAACCGAGGCTCCAGGAATGAAAGAGACACGCCTGGTATTACCCAATAAAAGGTGACTGAGCCCACACCCCGTGCTAGGGCGGCCTAGAACCAGTGTTCTCCCCAGGGTAACAAATGGCTTCTATGCATTTCAAAGAAAAGAATCAGAAATCCGGAAAACAGATATCTAACTTAACCCCCTGACGATATTTAACCCACAAACACAGTATGCTGTCTGCCTTCAAACACTGTCTTCCACAGCTGAGGGTGCCCTTGCTCTTCCCCACCCGCCCCTGCGCAGTCTCCCTCCTTCGGACTGGCTCCAGCTCTGGCCTCTCCTGCCCGGCTGAACCCGAGCCATCACTGACACATCCTCCAAGCTGCGGGCCCAGCACACACCTTTAGACAAGACTCCTCACAGCACTGCAGTGTTGTGTTGATGGCTGTCTCCTCTAAGGTACTGTGGGCTCCCTGAGGGCAGAGATGGGTTTTTTCATCTGTGGATCCAAAGCACCAGCATGGGCGGGCACATGGGAGATGCTGAGTAAATGTTCATTGAATGTAAAAGTAAACATTTTTCTTGTACAACTAACCAGCCTCTGTGTAATGGTCCAAATTAACCAAGGAATTGGGAGCCTTCCTGGGGCCATCAGGAGATAGGGCTTAGACACCCAGCACACACCAGGCAGGACCTGCACAGCTGCTGAGAACAGTGCCCTCCCCTACAGGATGGAGAGCCCTCTGAGCAGGGTCCTGGCCATCTCAAAGTCAGGGACCGCTTCACCAAGGTCTCACTGCCAAGCAGGCCACCTCCGCAGAGAGCTGCTGGGGAGAAAAGAGGCCATTACCAAAGGCAACTGAAGCCCTTGAACGTCCCTCAGCCCACTCCTGCGGAGTGTGGGCTTCACAGCCGCCACTGTCCCAGTCAAAGCAGAGTCTCCCTGCCTGTGCCCAGGACACCCCATGAAGGAGCACTGCAGGGGCACCATGAAGGAGCATTCTGTGATCAAATGTGTGGGAACTGGTACAAGCTCCCTGGCCCCTTCAAGACACACTGGTGTACCGGAGGTTCTGAGAGGTCCTACAGCAAAGGTAACCATGTAATTGCGCTGTCACCCAGTGTCTGCCAAACCTATTTGATCAGAGAGCCTCACCCCACTTTCACATATACACCCCTCTCTGTTGTTCTTTAGGAAAAGCCTATTAACAACCTGTGAAACTAGTCTTCCAGCGAACACACTTGGGGAAATACTGGTGAAGGTCATCGGGCAAGGGAAACACTGTGGAGGGGAACAGCCTCTTGGGGGAAGAGACCTGGGGTGAGACAGATCATCAAAAAAGGGGTCATGGCCCGAAAAGGGTGGCAGGGATCTCTCACCAACACACAAACTTCCTGAAAGAAAAAGCCTTAGAACCACTTGAGTCCAGTGAAACGGACGAGAGAAGCATCCATTCTGAGCCTCAGTTTTTCCATCTGTAAAATGGGAATACTCATCTCTGCTCTTTCTGGGTCATCAGACGAGACCGTGGAGGTTTGCGTTTGTGGAAAGCTGGTGCCAGCGTAGCTCTTGTGCACTGTGGGTGTTCCAAGCAACTTGCCTGAGTAGAAGCAGCACAAATGACGGGCTTATGAAAAGAACAGGACAGCAGCGAAAAGCTGGCACAGAACCTCCAGGCACATAACTCAGAGGCCGTGTATTTCATGGGCAAACAGCTCAAGACCTGTCCGTAACACCTGAAGACGTGAGCCCATTACGTCAGCAAGAACCCCTAGTGCTTCCAGCTCCAGGAGCGGGTGGGAGTCCGTGGAAAGAACACAGGCTTGGAAGCCCACCAGTTCGGTCCTAAGCCGGTCTGCTCCTTCCGGGTGTGTAACAGACACGCAGCTTCACTCCAGGTCTGTTTTCCCAACGCGTAGGATGGGGTTAAACTCTGCCAGCTTCCAGGGTGACAGTGAGGACGAGCGACACTGAGGTCAAGCTGCTGCACACACAGATGCCCAATGACTGTGTCTCCTCAAAGAAGGCTGGCACATGAGGAACAATCATCAAGACGCTGGTCAGTGAGGGCTAGAAGGAAACCCTTTCTCCTCCGTCGTGTGGAAAGCTGATTTCAGCAGGTGGGAGGGTGGGAGGAGGGAGGAGGAACAGCACCCACTGGGTTGACAGGCAGAGGGAGAACACGAGCAGGCTCTGGGCAATGTGGCCATGACCGCCTCTGAAAGCCAGTGGAGCAGGAAGGGGCATGCGTGGCTGGGGAGGGAGAGAGGAGACCTGCAGAGCTCGTGGTGAAGATCAGAATTCTGTGAAGGCTGCCATCTATTGGGTACATCCCACTGGCCAAGCACTTTATGCATTCTGGCTCTAAGCTCTGCCTAAGAGGCCAGGTAGCCCATCCCGGGCTACACAGCTGGACACCCACAGGGTTGGAGCTGAACTCTGAGCCTTAGTCCAGAGCACAAGCTGTTTCCGCTCCACCATGCTGCCCCTTAAGGTTGGGATTGGATCACCCATTCACATCTCTCACCTGCTGAGGTCCTCAAGGGTGGGGGCTTGTCTCCCTACCCCCAGCACCCAGCAAATGACAGACATGCAGCACATGTTGGCCGAATAAATTACTCACTTAAAAACACTCCAAAAAGCTACTGGATTTCAATCAGAGCCCTTCTAATATAACATAACATGGTAGAAAACTACACGAGCCAATGCCCTTCTGAGGAACACAGCATTAGAGTCTAGGAAAAAATTCCAAATTCTCTGCTTCTTTGCCTAGAAATTGTGAGCCCCGAAGTCCTTCCACAATGCAGTATGTTAGGGTCTTCTGCTCCCACTTAAGTGCAGAAAGCCCTTTGGTGATCTGGGGTGAGCGGAGTGGAGTATCAGAGCACAGTCGTGCCCAACCACAGACGAGGAAACTGAAGGCCAGAAAGGAGAAGGGATCTCACAAGATCACACAACGAGCCTCCTCCTTTTTCCTACATAAAAGGCTGCCTTTGCGGTAAAGGAAAATGCAGTCAGTCCACACACTCCGTTGCACGCTGTACGCATAAGGCTAGAGCAGAGTTCTGTGCAAAGCAGTAAGGATCCAGCGGCTGGAGGGGTTAGAAAGGCTTCATGTGACAGGTGACTCGGACTGTGAGGAACAAGTTAGAAGCTTTAAGGGAAGATGTAGCAGAAAAGGCTAATCTTCTGCCAAAACATGCGCTTCCCCATCTAAGGATAGAGTTGCTGTGAAGCCACGACCTGAACAAAGACTACATTTCCCAGGGTCCTTTGCCTGCAGGTAAGGACATGTGACTACTGATGATCACTGGAGGCTACTGGTGAGTGGGAGCAGGCGGAGCCAATGGAATGTGAGCAGTTAAGAGCAAGGCACTAAGAAAAGGCTGTGCCTTCCTCACCTTCACCATCCCTTCCCCTTTCTGCCAGCCAGAAAAAGACTCTGACACCCCCGGGAATGGCACAGCCACAGGTGAAAGAAACTGGGCCCCGAATCACCGCATGAAACACCTGCCAAGCAGAAGCAGCCATTCTGGACTGGAAGTGGAAATAAGTCTCTAATGTGTTGGAGTTTGTTATAGGGGACTGGAAGACGGGTGTTCCAGGCAGAGGGAACACTGTGACAAAGGCACAGGGTGTGGCCAAGCAGGGTGCTTTTCGGGGACGGGAAGAGCGGAGGGTGGCTGTGCGGAGGAGCGCTGAGAGGCAGAGCTCACGCTGGTGGCCACAGGAAGGAGGATCATGTACAGGGATTGTTTCCAAGGGCCCTGGTGTTGCTGGCACTGCTCTCAAAGGAAGAATGGAAGTTGTGAATGGTTTCCTGTAAAATTTGTCTCTCCCGTCCCTGTGGAGGAAATTGAAAACAGACACAGAAAGTCTTGTTAAATCTTTTAACCATTAATTCAGTTGACACAGTGTTGTTAATACTCCACTCATACTTGAAGAACCCATGGGCGTCTTGGGGGAAATAAATTACCTAATTGACAGAGTACCAAGTTTAATAAAAACAGTCTGAGTCAGACTCTCCCCCAGCACCCACGATCATAGCACACCAAAGACTGGGGAGGCCCCGCGACACAGGAGTCCAACCCCTCAAATGAGGAAGGACCGCAGAGCCCAGGGAGCAGGACTGACCTGCCCCAGGCCACACAGTGTGGATGGGCGACGTCCTCCCCTGCTTTGCTGTATGTTCCCCCAGCCCCCGGACTTCCGGGGAATCCGTGGGAGCCAAACTTCTTTCTGCTCAGTGTGAGAGTCTGAACAGCCTTCTCCTCCTTGCCCAAAAGATGGCAGGCTCCTGTTCACAGCCATTCACGTCTCCCCCCATCCCTGCAAAATCTCTCCCTCCTGTCCCCCTGCACACACATTTTGAGACAGAAAGGGGAGAGAGTGATTGTTTCTTTAAACCCAGAGAACATCCTCGCTGAACTCCTGGCCAAGAGGCAGAGGTGCACAGAAGTGAAGACTAAAGACTAGAATCAAATAGCCTGGGTTCAAATCCCATCATCTCTCCATGTACGAGCTGTGTGACCTTGAGCAAAGTACTCCATCTCTCTGGGCCTTGGTTTCCTCCTTTGTAAAACGGGGATAATAATGGTACCACAAAAGGCGGCTGCTGACGTCGACCCTGTGTAAGCAGCAGGCGCTGCCGTTCCTGTCCTCGGAAGGCAGCAGCATGGCTTTAACATATATTTTTAAAACTAACAAATTAATGTGGAAAAATGTAAAGCAAATTAAAAAATGAATACTCTCTGGCAGATTGTGCTCTGCTAAGAACAAAAAGGTAAAAAAAAGTCCATTGAATAAGCCCAGACGTCAAACTTCTCTCACGTCATGAACTCCTCACACCCCAGGGGTCCCTCTCCAGACTCCCGGGGGGGGGGCTCTCTGGTGCTGACCGGGCCTCCCAGACACCCGAGGGCAGTGAGTCGCCCTTCACCGAGTTCTTCCCGGTCATTTTAAATCAGCTGGGAAAATGTCACCATGGTTCCATCAACACAAACCTGAAGGCCACAGGGCACAGGACAGAGAAGCAGATGTGCGGTCAGAGGACCCTGAGTTCCCACTCGTTCACTAGAGGGGCGACCCAGGCATGACGCTCCCCACCCTGCTGCTGTGTCCATGCTGGGGCTGAGATGAGGCTCGACCTGAGATACCGAGCGAGGTGACACTGCCAACCGCAGAAGACGGAGAAGTACACAGGAGGGGTGACGGCGCTGCCCTTATTCAACACCACCTTGGCTTCCACTGCCTGAGAACAGGTCAGGGCGAGACAGGGTTCCCGCACTCCGTGCCCCCTGACCTTAGGGGGGAGCTGTGGATGATGAGAACCGTCATCGTCCCAGCATCCACAGCTGATGAAAGATGATGATGAAAACTGCCCTTGAAAAACCCCTGAGTTTCAAAGGACCTGCCTGATAATTCTCAAAAGAAAAAATAATAAAGCAAATAGTCATTAAAAGTCAAAATAAGTGCTCAGTCTATCTAGTAGTTAAAGAAATGCAAATTAAAACCAGGTATATTTTTGGGCCTATCAAATTAATAAAAATTTAAAAACATACCAAATTCTCATACCCACAGCTGGTGGGGATGTTCACTCGCTCTTTCTGGAAATTAATTCAAGAAAAGGTAACGTATACCTTGAATTAGACTCTCTGACTCTGTGATTCTACTTTTAGACAACTATTCTGAGCAGATAATTAGGTCTTACACACAGAGCTGCCCACGGCAACACTGTTAGAGGAAGCCTGGGTATCGACATAGCCAACAAGTAGGAATTTAAAAAATGATACATCCATACAAATGTATTCTATTAAGAAGAGTTCTTAATGACACAGGTAACTGCATGTATTTAATGTTAAATGAAGGAAGTAGGATGTAAAAAGAATATGTATCTCAGTTTTATGTATTTCACATAAAACACTGCAGAGTGATCTTCCCAAATGTGAACAGTCTTGGCCTCTGGGTGGATGGATTGTGATTTCTTTAAAAAGTCACCTTTTTGGTACCGTGCAAATTTAGTGAAATGAATGCTAAATATCAAAGCACTGCTTTGATAATCAGAAAAAGTGGGAATGGGAAAAAGCAATCTATGGCTTAGGACCGACTAAAGTAAAACTCAGGTCATCACTTCTGGTTAACCTTCTCCAACATATAACCTGCCCGAAACTAACTGGTAAGCAGACTTGCACACATATCACACCTTGAACACGAGAGTGGGTTTGCATGGAACCTACAGACTTGCAGGCTGAGGGCAGTGCTTTGCTGATTTTTTTAAATGGCTGAGCCAAGTTTTTAGTTAATATTAATTTTTTTTTTTAATTTAGGCTAAAATGTTCAATTTTTTTTGACTGTGTAAGAAATATATTTTATATCACAACCCTGTTACATATATACAACTGAAACAAATTTTACCCTTCCTACTTGCAAAGAATGTTGATATTTTCTATTCTACTCTGTTTTTAATGCTGCTTACGAACCACCGAGTTGGTCCCACGCCCTCCAGGATGCCGTGAACCACAGCTAGTAAGACACCAGGCGACAGTGAGAGCGGGGCCTCTCTTCTCTCACATGTCCTGGTCTGGGCTCACAAATGTTCCAGAACCTCTGAGCTACAGTGGGTACTCTCTCAGCCAAGGCTGGGTTGCAAACAAACAACTATGAATGTTAGAAGGGGAAGTTCATGCCCAGTAACAAGAAATAGGCAGGAGCCCCTGCAGTCAGGGTCAGGCAGGTCCAGCCTAGAACAGCTGAGACCCAGGGCATCCAAAGGGCTCTTGGAAGCCCTCAGCCTGAGGACCTCTTAGCTCTTTCTAAGAACCAGGACAAAGCTGCAATGGTAACCTAGGGTAGTGAAGATACACCTGCTTTTGGAATATTAAACTTCTCCCAATCACACCTTTACTCTACGACAGACTATGATACATAGTCCTCATTTCCATGACTTGGGTACTATTTACCCTAGAATAAGAGGGCCTTTCTCTCTCCAAAAATCAGTTCAGCTCCGCTCCTTCCCCTTGCATCTATCGCCATGTTGAAATTACTGGAGGGACTATTGTAGCTGACTCTCAGCAGAACCAACCTTATGGGAAGAGAGATCTGGAGAAGAAACAGGCCCCATGAGGAGGGGTGAGCACCCGGCCATGAGAAGCATGCAAGCAGAGCCCGCCTCTCCAGATAAAATTAGATAAAATTAGACCTCGAAGGTCCTTGGGGACACTGAGGGCCTAGAATCCTAGTAAAGCCCTGAGCCGTCTGAAACAGGAAAAACAATTAAAAAGATGGATAGCGATACCTTGCCTGCGTTCAGCTCGGAAATCGCTGCCAGGATCTGCTGCCTGGACCCGTCTGTCTTAATACCCAGCTCCTGCAAGTCGCCGTCGGTGAGGGTGAGGAAGGCTTCCATGTCCACCTGGGGAGAAAGAAGGGAGCCGCTGCCACCTGCTCGGTGCCCACCTCCTCTTCCCAGCCACGACAGAACGCGCGTGATTATGAACTATTAGTGCTCAGTAGTAGTGGATTAATTACGACTTACTATTTCCAATTCCTGACTTTATGCTGAAAGTTTAGTTGCAAATATCAGTAAGAACTAACTCTCCTCAGCTCTAGCCCCGGGGTTTTCAGCATAGGTGTGTTCTGGAAAGATTCGGATAATGAAAGAAGAAAGAAAAGCCTCCGGGGCAGTAATCAGGCGGCTAGAGCCGTAAATATCCCAGTCCTGCTATTAGAAAGTGAATTCCAGTTTGACGGGACTTTGAACGATATTGGCTCCTGCACAGAGAATGTGGGTATATGGAAGTACTCACCACGTTTGCCCCCAGAGGACAAGAGAGATGCAGACTGTGGAAAGACAGAGTGAGAAAATAAACAAGCAGAAGCAATAAGGAAAGGGCCACGGAGAACGCAGGTGCAGGGCTCAGGCAAGGTTTCTGTGGTAGAAATCCTAACATCTGTCATCCCTGCCTGTGCCTCGGCTCTGGCTCTGGGAGAAATACCTTCCACCCCATCTCTCCTTCTCACTTTTAACAGTCACTTTGCTTTCTTGGGTTAAAAAAAAAGTCTTGAACCAGGTTTGCATCCACGGGAAAGGGTCTGCTCCCTTACCCAATCCCAAGCTCTCTCTGAGATGCAGGCATCTCCCACCTCTCTGACAATGACATGACGAGCTCCTCTGGGACCTTAGCTCAGGAGATTTGGAGGAGCTGAATGGAACAGCGCCGCAGTTTGGGCTGAACCACCTGGTCCTGGTTCCAAAGGACACTCCCCTCTCTCCACCATCCCAGACCTGAGGCGGAGACACCACATCCATCCAATGGACCCTCAGTGAGCACAGAATGTATCAAACAAAAGTGGGCAGCCATCAGCAAACAGGAAAGATTTTCTTGATGACAAAAAAAAAAAAAAAAAATGGCTGCTCAAATTTAAAACTGCAGGGAGGCAGGAAGGACAGACTGGATGGGGCAGCAAAGCAAATGCCCGGGTTGCAGGTTCAATCCCCAGTAGGGGGCGTGCAGAAGGCAGCCGATCGATGTGTCTCCCTCACATCAATGTTTCTCTCTCTCTCTCTCCTTTCCTCTCTCTAAAAAATCAATAAAAACCTATTAAAATAATAAACTGTTCCTGACTTTGGAAAACTGACTTTAAAAATAAATAAAGTGTAAAATTCAAAGATTTTTAGTACAGAGTTGTGTAACCATCACCACACTCAATTTGAGGATATTTTCATCCCCATTAGAAATCACTCCTCATTCTCTCCTCCCATGTTCCCTGGCAACCACTAATCTTCCTGTCTACAGATTTGCCTCTGGACACTTCCTACACATGGAGTCATACAACAGGTGGCCTTTTGTGACTGGCTTCTTTTACGTAGCATCATGCTTTCGAGGCTCATCCGTGTTGCAGCATGTGGCATGTGGCGTTGCTTCATTACTTCTGTATGACCTAGTTATATTCCATCATAGAGAGATTACACATTTCATCTGTCCATTCATCAGTTAGTGGGCATTTGGCTGTTTCCCCCTTTTGGCTACTATGATAATGCTGCTGTGGGCAGTTGTGTACCAGTTTTTGTGTGGACACGATTTCATTTCTCTTGGGTGTATGCCTGCGAGTGGGGTCGCGGGGTCAGATAGTAACTCTGTGTTTAATGTTTTGAGAAACTGCCCAACTGCGGAAGAGTAATATTTTAAATATGTGATTGAGTGCTGTTAAGCAAATAGGAATTCTCTTAGATTAACACAGATTCTACATCCAGACACTTAGCAGAGACTCATGAGGCTTTGCTTTGGACCGGCTTTAAATCTAAAGCTTGTCAGCCAACCCCCTTCGACAAGGGTGAGCAGGACAGGCACAAACTTTACGAGAGAGAGCGGTGCTCACAATTACAGAATCCTATCACAATAAAACAAGCCACAGGCCCCCAGGATTTCAATGCAATGACTGAACTAAATGTGCTGAACATGAATTCTATTTCCACAGCTGTCTCAATGAAGATCAATCCAGGCTAGTAGAATGAAAACCTACATATTTAGACTTATTTTTTTTCCCAACAGCAAGATTTAAATTGACATTCAAAAAGAACAGCCTTACCTCTTGCTCCTCAAAAATGGGCTGGTATTTCTCAAGTGATAATTTCTTAAGGATTCCAGTCAGTTCGTCTTCAAGAGGGAAAGATGTGAAAAAAGACCATTTTAGAATTTGATAAAATGTATCAAAAGAGTGATCTTCAAACTTTCATAAAGCAGCGGTAATCTCTTTTCAAATGAAATTCTATAGGAAAGCCCGTCCCAGAAAGCAGATCTAAGCCTGGGTATGAAGGGGGCGACCACCCTCCCCCCTCAGGGCAGGCCTTGGGCATCAACCAAAGCCCCAAGTCGGCTGGGAAGAGAGAGGACAGGGATGTTCCTGGCCAGGCTGACTCCAACGGCTGCACCACCAGACTCCTGGTGTTCTCGCTGTGGGACTAAAACTCTGCCTTCTGTCCAAGAGCAGTTTTTAATTAGGGTTTCTCGACTACTGGTCTCCGCACCTGCAGTAAATGCCAATGCGAGCAAGTCCTCAGCTAGTCACAGAAAGGACTTCAGAGAAGAGGCAGGAGCGGTTGGGACCAGAGTCGGGTTTGGCTCCAGTGTGCGGAGGCTATGCACTTCCGGGAGGGAGGGACGTCTCAGTGGGGCAGCAGAGCCAGAGGGGTCGAGACCAGAGGAAAACAGAATATTTGGGGTATCAAGAGATCAGAGGAGGGAGAGTAAAGAAAGGAAAGAAGACCACCATCTGGGGGCTTGAAGAAACATTTATTCGCACATTCAGTATTTGCCAGACTAGGCATGGGGGACTGAATGGGGCCAACACAGACAATGAGCAGGCTGACAGAGGAAAACAGAGCAGCACTGGAGAGGCTGACAGGGGAAGGGAGGATGCTGCTTTACACAGGGGGGCAGGAAGGCTTCTTTCATAAGGTGTCATTCGAACACTGAATGAAGATGTGCAAATATCAAGGGAAAGAGCACCAGGCAGAAGAAACAGTAAGTGCAAAGGCCCTGGGGCAATGGGTGCAGTTCACAGAAGAGTAGACTGGAGGTTGGAAGGCCTGAGTTCCTTCTTTTAGTCACTCATTAAACAGTGGCCACCGATGTGCCTACTGTATGCCAGAAAGGCTCCTGCTGGGAAGGAGCTCAGTGGCAGGGAAGAGGTCACAAAGAAGTGACCATTGCGCACTGCTCACCATCAGGCACCCTGCACATGGACGACCCGCCTGCTCTTTCAAACCACCTCATGAGTACGCCCTATTCCTGCCCCCATTTACAGAGGAGAAACTGAGGCACAGAAAGGTCTGGTGCCATATCTTGGGTGGGTCACACTGCTAGGCCACAGCACAGCAGGGATTCAAACCCAGGGTCTAGCCACATGTCCCATTGGCAATGAGTGAAGGGCACGAGCACGGGGATCTGGGCACAGCGAGGGCAGCTGGCCCAGCCAAGGGAACTGGAAGAGCCTTCACAGAAGAGCTGTTCCTGAGCTAGGACGCATGAGATGAACTGAGTCTCAATCCAGACAGAATCCCTGTAGCTTCATGACACCACACCTTTGCCCCTGCTCCCTCCACATGCAGCCTCTGCCCACAGCGCTGTGCTGGGAAACGGTTAACAACGGCTGGGGGGGGGAGGGGGGCATGACTTTACCACAGATTTGACTGATACAAAGAATGTGTAACACACAATTTACACATAATACCAAATCATACGATACTCTTTTATTATATATTCCACAGAGCAAATGTTTTATTGCCGTTCAGGCGTCTCCCTGAATTCTTCCGCTGGCTTTTGCCCTCCTCTGGTGCCTGTAGCCAGTGAGTGCAGTTCCAACACGAAGGCTGGCCGTTCCCTTGATGGGATCGTGTGAGATGAAACGAACAATGACGACGTATGTTGGAACATCATATGAGCAACTTTGCTGAATTAGATAACGGTTTTCAAACCCTGGAAGAATATTTTCTCGATTTTTTGTGCTAGTCACAATATAACAGTACCGGACGTGAACTTGTAAGTTTAACCTGCGGAACTGACACTGACTCTGCGCCATCTAGATTACCCACAGACGAGCTCTAAAGCTGTAGCTCCAGCCCTGGCTGACGCTTGCTGACTCACGGTGTGAAATGCCCCCATCACAGCCGACTTCCAGCTAGCGGGGTACTGCTCCCGGAGTGGGACCGGGGAGAGACGCACAGGAGCAACAGCGCACCCCACACAGCATCCCCACCGCAGAGGCGGAAGAGATGTCGACCATCTCGAGAGCACAGATGTTAGTAAAATACAATAAAAAAACAGAAAACAATTGTTTTAAAATACCACATACCTTTATACTCAATATAATTAATTATAAGGTTCAGGTAATTTGTTTTTCGTTCTTTCCTTTTTTGTCTTCTTTTATATATATTTTGTTGTTGTAAAATCTGACTGTGAACGGCTGGTTTAATCACCAGCTCGCACATTTCCTATACATTTAGCCCTGAGCTCTGGCCCACCACTGCCTCACCCTTCCCAGCCCCCGTGGCGGGGCCCGAATGTCCATGCTCGTAAAGGCTGCCACGACGCTGGCCTTTGCTGATCACATCTGTGTTACAATCATTTCATGGGATTCTGCTGAATGCACCTGACGCCCCACCTGCTGTCAGCAGCCCACCACCCAGCACAGGTGTGGCGCCCAGGGCCTGCCCAGCGCCTCCAGGGACCACTGTGAGGCTCAGAAGGGACTTCGTCCCAGGCCTCACTGCTTCCAACGGGAGTCCAGAGGGAGCGACGCAGGTGGAAAGGTGGGCAGGCAGAGACTTACATGCAGCCCTTGAATGGGGCACACATTTCCCACAAAAATACAAAGAATATCTGTTTGGGGATGGATTACAACCTCTGTCCAGCAACAATCCAATGCCCACAGGGCAAGGGTCTCACTGCCTCAGGACCTACAAACCCCAGAAGGAAAAACTGCTTTCTAAGCAAGTGAAATTAATCTGCAAAGAATTTGCTGTCAGGTCCTCCTCTTTTTTCATCCCATGTAGGGCTCTGCAAACCTTTTAAATAATGAATAAAAGGGGAAAAGAGTGGGCACGGACAATGCATACAGATATCCCCTGTCTCACTTTGTGAACAAAGGTGAGGTACAGAAACCTCACTGAAGTTTCAGGGGTTGACTCCTGAAGCCTTGGAGGCGGGAGAATTCTATGACTCCATCCAGAAAACGTGGTTAGGGAGGAATGGGGTTGCTGGTGAATCTCTGAAGCTTTTATAAAGGGTTGCACCAGGGACCACAAAACAATAAAACAGCCCCTGAATAAACAGGAAGCCAATGGCAGCACGCATTTATCAACTCAGGACAGACCAGCGCCTGTGCCGTTGATCTCGACTTATCACTTGCTGGACAGAACCTGCTCAGCACGTCCCGGAGCCGCAGTGAGTCACCTGCAGGTGCTGGTGAGGCCGGTGCACAGTGAGATTCTCCTCCCCTCTGTACACTCTCTGATTTGCACCTGCCTGGGCCCCACCCTCACAGAAGTTCTGCTCCCTCCTTTCCATCCCCACTGCCAGGAGCCACCAGAGGGCAGTTTTAAAGATGACCTTCTCTTCATCTCCCTTTCTCCTTCCTGGGCCTCCCCGCAGAGCCCCCACTCCTGCCCTGCCATCCACTCCATCTCCGCCCCTCCCCCAACAGGCTTTGATGACGAATGCAGGTTCCTAAGTTCTCCCGTTGCGGTGGATCTACAGCTTCTGCCTGCCCGGCATCCATCCTCCTCCTGGAAACTGCACTTCCCTTCCCTTCGAGGAGCTGCTTCTCTCTCACTTCCAACCCACACCGTGCAGGCAGGGCAGGCCCACCCTGGCTCCCAAGGCAGACACACGGCCTGGGCCTGGACCGTCAGCACATCCTCCCCCAGCACCCAGAGACAATCAAGGATGGGCAAATGACCCAAGCTGTTTAAATATAGCCAAGATAGGCCCATGACCTTTACCCCTGGGGTTTTGCTGGACCTATTGAGAAATTAGCACTCTTTCTGCTTTCGTTGCTAAGTTAGCAGGAAGAGGAAGTAAGCCTAATGCCGCTGGGGGACATCCTGGCCATCACTCAGAGAGCCCATCTGAGATATGGGGCAACGTTCCCAAAGCACCTGGATCCAGACGTGCCTGCAGCACATCCTAGACATGTCCACTATATGCACCAACAAATGATCAGTATTTTGTTTTTGTTTTTGCTTAAAGCAGTTTGAGTGAAGATTTCATCACTTGCAACTGAAAGAATTCTGATTTATACCAGGTCCAGGGAATGGTACCTAACTGCTGTTAGATAAACATTTCCACAGGTGTTTTTGTACAGTACATATAAAAAAAACTACACTCAAAAACGATTTGAGGTAGCTGACTATACCCTAAGCACAGTGAAGACAAAAACACAAGACAGACTCAGGGAAGGAGAGGGGCCGGTGTGGTTTGTAACAAATAAACCTGGCCTCGGATGGCTATCGCAACGAGAGGCACCTGCCAGGCCGCCGCGGTGAAGGGAAAGGATGGGGTCGCAGGACCTCAGGAGACTCACCCTCATCAGTGATGGTGCCACTGCTGGAGCCCCCGCTGCTCTTGGACTGCCGATGGGACGAGGAGGACGACACTGAGGACTCAGCCGCATGGCCTTTGGGTGAAGGGGACGGCGTGAGGGTGGGGGAGGTGCTTTTGGAGGTAGTGGAAGTTCCAGATGGGGGCCTTTTACCCGTCTCCAGTTTCTGCACAAAAGAATAAGACAAATACGTGGCCATCTCCCGGAAGATAGAAATGATTCAAACAAACACACAACAGAGAACACTCAATAAAATATCTAACCAGGACTATGAAATCTATTAAAAAAAAACACATGCAAAGCAGAAACAGAGTTATCTAAGCAGTTACATGGGAACCCTCCCCTGGCGCTGAGCAGGGGGTGGGGTGGAAAATGCAGCCCATAAAGTCAGAAAATGTGGGGACTAGTCCCGCCCCTACTAGCATGTGTCCGTGGCCAGGTCCCCTCATCTCTCTGTTAACCCAGCTCCAAGGTGGAAGTGTGGCTTATGTATACCTGAAGTTCCTTTCTGCTCCTGATGTTGCTTCATCTAACTCAGCTGCTTCCAACCTTTCACCAAAGGACAGACTGTCCCCTCCACCCCTACCCCATGTGCATGTGCATGTGTGTGAGAGACACAGAGAGAGAGAGATTGATTTTATTTTAGACGTTTTTATTCGGAAATATTTTTAGATTTATAAAGAACAGAGAGTTTCTGTGTATCCCTCAGCCAGCTTCCCCTGATGTTAACATCTTACATAACCATAGTACAATGATAAAAACTAATAAATAAACACTGCGACATACTATTAGCTAAACTAGACTTGACTCAGATTTCAGGGCTGTCCCACCAACACCCTCATTCTGATGCAGGATCCGGTCCAGGTTCCCACGCTGCACCATCATCATGTCTTAGTCTCTTCCAATCTGTGAGAGCTCCTAAAGTTGCCTTGTCTTTCATGATCTCGACACTTCTGAAGAGTCCCGGTCAGGTATTTGTAGACTGTCCCTCAGACTGGATTTCTCTTATGTTTGCTCATAATTAGATTTGCCTATGGGTGCTTGGGCCAAGGGCCAGGCTGATGTGCCACTCTCAGCACATCATACGAGGAGGCAGAAAGTATCGGACTCTTACTACTGATGATGTTGACCTTCATCGCCTAGTGAAGGCGGCATCAGGTTTCTCCACCGTGAAGTCACTGGTTTTCCCTTTATACCAAAGAAATATTTGGGGGAAGATATTTTGAGCTCAGTATCTTGTTATTCCTTAAAGTTTAACCCACTAATTTTAGCATTTTTTGGTGGATCTTGTATGGAGCAACTCCTAACGTGATGTTCCGATGATGATTTGCGATCCCTCTTATTCTTTCCACATTATTTGGGATTTTTCTGTAAGGAAGAGTTGCTCCTTCTCCCCCAATCATTCAGTTATTTATTCATATCACTATGGGTTCGTGGATATTTATTTCATTCTTTGGGCTATAATCCAATACTATCATTATTTATAGTTGCTCAAATTGTTCCAGTTTTGGCCACTGAGACCTTTCAGGTTGGCTCCTGTGCCCTTTTGACATACCCTTTTTTTTTTCCCTTTCTTTTAAAAAGCATTTCCTTTTCCTGGGTGGTTTGGCTCAGTGGTTGGAGCATCGGCCCGCAGACCAATGAGTCGTGGGTTCGATTCTGGTTAACGGCACGTACCTCGGTTGCGATTCGTCCCTGGTCCTGGTTGAGGTTGTGCGGGAGGCAGCCACTCAATGTGTCCCTTTCACGTCTATGTTTCTCTCTCTCTCTTACTCTCTCTCCCTCCCACTCTATTTGAACAAAAATGGAAAAATATCCTTGGGTGAGGATAAAATAAATAAAAGCATTTCCTTATTTTGTGACACCACAAAGTGCTTCAGGCTCATCCTGTATTTCCATGATCAGTTACTGGAATAAACCACTACTCCAAGGCCCTGGCCCCTTTTATGGGAGAATGGTATTTAGAAACCAAAATCTGGGTATTAGATTGTTCATTGCTACTGGGATGTCACAGCTTCTAGGTCCTCTCAGTAGACAGAGCAAGGAAATATAGGAAGTATACTAGCCCATGTATACATACATAGCCACATTTATTTCTTTGTCTATCAACCTGTGTGTGTATATGTATGTATGTATGTGTGTGCATATTTATATTTACAAGCATGAATTCATAATGATTCAATACTGATACTTCTGACTTCAATCCAATATCCACAGGGTTTGTTCTACCATTTCCCCTTTAATTTATTCTCTGACAGTTAAAAACTGAGTTTATTTTTTTTATTATTTTATTTTTTTATCCTCACCCGAGGACATTTTTGCATTTATCTTCAGATACAGCAGAAGGGAGAGAGGGAGGAAGAGAGAGAGAGAAACACCAATGTGAGAGAGCCTCATCAAGTGGCTGTCACCCACACAACCCCAACCAGGGCCGGGGACAAACTGCAATGGAGGCACGTGCCCTTAGTGGGAACTGAACCCAGGACTCTCTGGTCCGCGGGCCGACACTCTAACTGCTGGGCCAAACAGGCCAGGGCAAAAAGTGGGTTTATTAAATTCACTTATTTATTCAACCTTAGTATATACATCAAGTACATACATATGCAAAATGTATATATATGTAAAGTGGTTTTGGAATTTAACCTACATCCTTGTAAGAAAAAAATGTTCACCTAGAGTCCAGTGCTTGTGTATGGTTCCGTCTGTCTTTACTTTGGCCTCACCATGGCCACGTGACATATGGGCTTTTCCCCACCTTCCAGATTGTGGTTGTCACTCATCTGTAATACAGTGAGATCTGCTGCCACAGTCTACATTCCATCTTTGGTGCCTGGTTGATTTTGTTTTGTTTTTAATTTGCATACAGTAGAAATAACTCTGTTATGTACAATTCTATGGATTTTGACGGACGCACAGTTGTGTACCCACCAAGAGTACCATACAGAACAGTTTCATCATCCTCCAAATTCCCTGTGCTGTTCCTGTCTAGTCAATCCTTCCCCTCAACCTCAACCCGTGAAAATAACTGATCTATTTGCCATCCGTATAATTTTGTCTTTTCCAAAATGTCATATAAATAGAATAATACAATATGTAGACTTTTGGGTCTGACTCAACATAATGCCTTTTAAGTCCATTCAAGTTATTGCATGTTAACAATAGTGTGTTCCTTTCCGTTGCTGAGAAGTATTCCCTGCATGGATGTCCCACAATTAGTTGACCCATTCACCGGTTGATGAGATGTTTCCAGTTCAGGGTGATTGTGAAAAAACTGCTATAAACACTCACCAACAGATTTTTGTATGAACAAAAGTTTTTTAAAAATTCACTTGGGTAAATAAATACATAGGCGCAAGATAGCCTGCTCACCTGGTAAGTATAAATTTAGTTTTATAAGAAACGGCCACACTTTTCCAAGGTGGCTGGACCATTTTGCATTCCTACCAGCACTGAATGAAAGCCCCAGTACTCCACATTCTCATCAGCACTTCCACCTTTACATAATTCTAATTTTAGCCATTCTACTAGGTGTGCTGTACAGTTCTCACTGTGATTCTAATTCGCATTTCCCTAATACTTGCCAGTCGTGTATCCTTGATGAAGTACCTACTCAGATATTTTGCCCATTTTTAAATTTGTTGGTTGTTTTCTTATTGATGAGTTATCAGAGTGCTTTATTCTGTAGTTTATATGATATGGATAGGTATATTCATTTTTATAGTTATCCTATTTAGAGTTTTCTGAACTACTAGAGCTGTGGTTTGGTATCTATCATTAATTTGGGGAAATTCTCAGCCGTTATTTAAAAACATTTCTTCTGCCCCTCCATTCTCTTCCTCTCTCTCTTCCTTCAGGGATTCCAGTCACCCGTACGTCAGGGCATTTACATTCTCCCGCAGCTTCTGGATGCGCTGGGGTTTTGTTGTTGTTCTTGTTTTTGCTTGAACGTCTCGTTTTGTGTTTCGATTTGGGTGATTTCTATTGCCCTTCCTTCCAGTTCAGATTCTGTCTCTGACTGTGTCCAGCCCACTGAGGAGCCCCTCAAAGGCATTCCTCATCTCTTCCCCACCTCTGATTTCCAGCATTCCCACCCGACTCTTCCTTAGAGTGTCCACCTCTGTGAAAGACTTCCTCACGTGATTTTGTATGTTGTTCAAATCTTCCATTAGAGCCTTTATCATATTAATGGTGGTTTTTAAAAATCCCCTGTCAGGTAATTCCAACACCTGAGTCATAGCTAAGTGAGAGCCTCCTGATTATTGCTTTGTTTCTTAGGAGTGTGATTTTCTTGGGTTTTCATATGTTTTGTAAGTTTTGCTAAAAATGGAACATCTTAAAAGTACAATAGTAGAAACTAAGATTTTTATGCCTGGAAATGGACACATCTCTTCTGCTAAGCCCCTTCTAACTAACTACATTGCAGAGTGTGAAAAAAAAAGTCCCTTTCTTCGGTTTTAAAAGACTATGTCAAGCCCTGGCCAGTTTGGCTCAGCGGTTAAAGCGCTTGGCCCTGGACCAAAGAGTCGCAGGTTTGATTCTGGTCAAGGGCACGTACCTTGATTGCAGTTGGTCCCTGGCCCTGGTCGGGGTCGTGCAGGAGGCAACCAGCTGATGTGTCCCTCTCATGTCGATGTTTCTCTCTCTCTCTTCCTCCCTCCTACTCTATCTGAAGATAGATGGAAAAATATCCTCGGGTGAGGATTGTTTAAAAAAAAAAAAAAGACTGTCAATTAGCTGCCTATATTATTAATAAATTATTCCCTCTTCTTTTGCTATAAAAACATTCAATAATAAAGGTCCTAATTAAGCAGGAGATAATTAGTATATATCTATAAAACAGATCTACCCCAGCCAAAAGCAAAGAAACATGATACTCTGGACCTGTGGGTAGCATTATTGGGAAGAGGACAGGTAATTATAAGATTTGGGGTGCTATGACATAGCTGAACTGTCCTCTATGTCTTTAACATAGGAGACTGATTACATAACAGCCTCATCTCCACTCCTCCCGGAATCCATACCTCTTGCTACGTAATCTGTGTGTTCTCCTGCACTGGGCAAGCTGATTTGCCTAAACAACTTGATTGTTCTTCAACTCACAGGTTCAGCCATTGCCACGAGGACACGTCCAAGCTTGTGGATGCACATGGCCCAGTTGTCCTGGTTTCCCCAGCCAACAGCCAGACGTGGACGTGATCCCCCCCCAGACCAGAAGGACTGCTTGCTTAAGTCCAGACTACACTTCCAACCCACGGATTCACGAGCTAAAGAAATGCTTTTTGTTTTAAACCACTGAGCTTTAGGGTGGGAACAGAAAGCTGATATACCCAGTGGGCCTTTAGGCTTTCAGAGATCTGGGAAGAATGGAAAAAATGCTCTGAACCCCCCACTCTGTGCCTCCTAAGGCTCACTTCATGCTGATTCACAAACAAGCTAGAAGCCATGCCTTGTCAATATCCCACTATTACAGTAGAGCTTGTTTTAAGCAAAGTACAGAAGCCAGAATCGGGAGGCTCATATTTCTAATTCTTCCTAAGGGAGTCTTTGAGAAGCACTTCATGTTTCCACTTTGCTGCTGGAGCCATTGACAGAAAGCCCACTCCTGGTGTCCTTTGATTTAGACAGTAGTTTCTAAGAGCCCCGGGGTGGGCTGGCTGCAACACTCTCGGGGGGGAAAACAGATTCCCCAGACCCGGTCTTAAGAGTTTCACTCAGTCATGCTGGGTGGAGCCCAGAAACCTGAAGGTTACAGCATGTTGTTATGTTAAGAGTATCAGGTGATCACTGAACTGGATTGTTTCCCCAGCTTATAGTTTCCTAAATGCATCTTTTGACACAATTTACTTTCATCAGAATATACATGTATATAGATTATATATGATAGTTGCATTCAAGTAAGAGAATAGGTAACATAATTTATAACTTAGATGTCTACTTATTTCCAACACCAATTAAAGGAAGCTAGTAATATCTAACACACCTAATAGGATTATCAAAATAGAAACAGAAAATGTGGGGCAACAGAGGACAATTATATCAAAGGCCAGACTAACAAATTTACTTTAATGAGTAGCTATGAGTTTCCTAGCAGCAAAGGCAAAAAGAGTAATACAATAGTTATATAATTCTAACTATTTGAGGAAAGAAAATATATCCCAGTATCAGTAGAGACATTTTTTTTTTCCTAGAGCCAAATTCTAAAAGGAACTTAATTACACAGATCTTACTACACTAGTAATTTTCAATACATTGGAAAATATGATAAGGTATAGGGAGAGAAAAACCTTTTCTGGAGCTATATCGTAAAAGGAACCTAATTATGTAGGTCCAATTGCTAAAGGGACTTTGAATCATCAACAGTGGTTGGGGGGCAATAAAGACTATTTCTCATTCATCCATGAAAACATCAGTCTCTGGAGGCCCTTCCGGGCAAAAGTCCAAGGGTGAGGCTCTCAGGTGACCTAAGTTTACGCTTAAGATCTAAAAAGTATGATAAAGAATGGGGCTGTTCCTGGATTTGGGGTCCTCCTCTCAGGAGGAAACGGGTTTCACTGCACCACTGAGGAGGGGCCAGTTCACACTCAGGACTAGGAACCTATGCTCTGGGGGCTTCGGCCATCAATCAGCCCAGGAGGAGGGGCTCAGGAGGTGGAGGGGGCACTGTGAAGACACTAAAGACCTTTCATTCCAGAGAGGCACTTAGGGTTTCTTGTCCATGGCAACTCCAGAGACAAACAATGTGGTGATGCCATCAGGCTGCATCACTGGAGGAGGGTGTCAGAGCAGGGAGGGGAGGCCCTGGCTCCGACTTCCTTCAGCCCCTCCCACCTGCCATGCTCTGGCCTCCGGAGAGCTGGGAACCTGACCTCTCAGCCTCGGACAGTCTCATGCCCCTCTCCTTCCTTCTGGCTCCTCGTCCTTCAGGTCCATTCAGATGTCATTGACGCCCTGCAGCCTGGTAGTGCCTCCTCCCTTCCCCACGACAGCCCCTACCACACTGAGGTGAGCCTGCTCGTATCCATAGTGACACCCTGCAAATGGTCACGAAACCCCAATTCACTGCCGGGTCCTCACTGCTGGCAGTGCCGGGCACAGAGCAAAAGCCCCAAAGGCGTGTACAATGAATGACCAGGTCGTGCTGAAAACACCCACAAGCTGACACTTACACAGGCTCGCCAGGGCCAGGCCCCATCCTAAATGCTCACGCGTGGAGCTGGGATCTGAGCCCTGGCAGTCTGCTCCTAAGCCCACACTCTGAACCCTTTTGCTCCAATCAATGAACAAACGTGTGCAATGTGAGGCTGGATGAGGCACCTGCTCGGGCCCTGGAGATCAGGCGGGAGGTGACCACGTGTGCAGGGGACCAAGGTCACAAGGTGTGATCTCAGCGACCACCCACACGATCCAGCCCTTCTCAGAAAACCCAGGAGCGGCTGCCGGAGGGGCCTGTCTTGAGCCCATCCATGACTGTGGCACCGCCCACGTTCCCCAGCATGTGGCCATGTTAGGACAGAATCTATGAGTACAACAGGAAGACACAGCAACAGAACAAGCACCTTGCCACCAGGACCGCCACCACCTGCTGGGGAGACCAGTTGCTCAGAAGGGCTGGACCCAGGTGCTGGCCCCACGGGACTTGACCGATGGCTGGGCTTCTGCTCAGAGAGTCCGGCTGCCTTCTTCCTCTGGGCGGCGATCTGGGACAGGACACTGTCTATGCTGCCACCTGGGGAAAGAGGAACGGAGATGACTGCCATGGGTCCAGAGGACCAAAACACAAGTGCAGTAGACCTCCTGGGCTGACCTGGGTGAGCCAGACCACATGTCCCAGAACCCTTCCCCATGGGATTCTGGGTCAGAACACTGAAGGAAGCAGGATGCAGGCCGCCACGTGATGGAGGCCCCAGTGCAAGGTGGGGAGATGCAGTGCTGGCAAGACCAGCTTGTCCTCACGACCCCCGCCGCCCGCGGCCCGCTCAGCCTCCAGCATGGGTGCCCGCCCGCCCCACATTCCCGCTGCAGCCCGGTGCAGCCACACCAGGGTTCCTCCCCGACCTGTCTCCCCTTTTCGGACCTTGACATCCCCAGCTCTCCCACCGCTGTGTCAATAACTCCCTCATCCCATAACACTCGGAGATGTCAGCTTCCCTCATTGACCCCTGATTGCCACGTACCCTTCTCCCCAAATCTACTGGCAACCTTGAATGATCACGAAAGAAAAAGGAAGTGATAATACCCAGGGCCAGGGAGGGTGCCAGAGGGAGAACACTGATAACGAACATTGACAGGGCACTACTCGGTGCCGGGCACGGGGGTAAATATTTTATATGTATAAACAGAGCCATTCTGGAAGGCAAAATGTAACAAAAGCCTTGAAAATAGGCAAGCCCACTGACCACACCACCCAGTGTTGAGCAAATCACCGACCGAGTACACAGATATGGAGGCGGGCAGGCATGACTTAGTGTGGCTATCTACAGGAGCAAAAATCCAGACCCGCCTCTGTTCAACAAGAGGGAACTGGGGTAGCAAGTGTGACACCTCAGAGGAATGGACTGCACTCTGGGTACGGACATCAACAGTGGACACAATGTGGTGTAGAGTCCAGAAAGGCTGCAGAGCAGTTTATACCCTGAAGTCGGCCTGTCCAGGTCCAGGTCCGGGCTCTGCCACTTCACAGCTGTGTGACCTGGGCCGAGTTACTTAACCTTCCCGAGCCCCAGTTCCCTCAACTGTAAAATGGAGAACATGTCCCAGCAGGCCGTTGGGAGACTGAAGGAGATAATCCACTTAAATGGTTTGATACTATACCTGGCACATACTAAGTGCTCTATAAATTATTCCATGTTCATAAATATAATATGCATAAAAGTACTTTGTGCCCGGCTGGTGTGGCTCAGTGGTTGAGCGTTGACCCATGCACCAAGAGGTTGCCAGTTCGATACCCGGTCAGGGCACATGCCCAGGTTGTGGGCCGGATCCCCACATGCAGGAGGCAGCCAGTCGATGTTCTCTTTCATCAGTGTTTCTATCTCTGTCTCCCCCTCCCTTCCTCTCTCTCTAAAATCAATAAAGAAAAAGATATAAAAAAAAATAAAATTCTGAAGAACAAAAAGTACTTTGTGAAGACGTATACCAAAGTGTTAATGATGATCTCTAGTGGGTGAGAGTATACCTTTATTATTATTATTATTATTATCATCTTTTGGTTTATCTGGTCTTACAACTTTTCTACAAGACATGGCACTCCTTGTAATGGCATTCCTTTGCAAAACCTTTCTGCAAAGCTGGTTTGGGTTAATCCTGGATGTCCTTGGAGAGGACAAGAAAGAATGCTGTTAAGGCCAAAATAACCGTGGAGCACTCTGGTTTGAGTCCTAATTGTCACGGACTTGCTGTGAGTCCTGGGCAAATCCCCTGCCCCCTCTGAGCTTCAGTGTCCTCATGTGCTCAATGCAAAGGCAGGATGAGAAGCTCAGGCTCTATCTTCAAGAATTTTAAACACCATGCATTCTAATTCCGTGTAAAATTTTCCATGAAAAGAAAGCATCATAGCCTTATTTCCTCTGTCTCCACTCCTGCCCCCCCAGACATGCAGGGGAGAAACTCAGAACTGTGAATTCACTGGAAAGTCCCCTGGCCACATCAGGGAGACGAGGTGTGTGCAGCTGTTTCTCGGACTGTCTGCAGAGTGAGCATAGGGGGTGGCCACACTCTCAGCCCCAGGCATCGGCCCACCTCCTCTAAGTGGCCCTGCCGGGTACCCACCTGAGCGGTTATGCAGCTCCCCGCCATGCCTACTGACGCCCCCTACCCCACTGGAGCCGCCTGAGGAATGAGGTGAGTGGTTGAAGTTTCCAGAATTGGCAGGAGAGGCTGGGCTTCTGGTGAGAGATGGAAATTTAACTGGCCTGACAGGAGTCTGCAAGAAAATGGTAGGGGACAGGGTTAGGGGTTGCGGCTCCTTCCTCTGGACACCCAGAATCTCAGCGGGAGGGCCCTGGCGCCCAGCTGGGCCCCCGCAGCCAATGTCTGCACCCACCATGCACGTCCTTGCTGACCAGGGCTCTGCCTGTCAGGAGTCCCCTAAGGGACAAGAGTTCACTTCTAGCTGCTGACAACCTGACCAGTACCTCAGGCTGAGGCCCCGTGACATCAGTTCCCATGGGTCACTCCGCTTTCGGGATCACTCAACTCCTCCCACGCTGTACACCAAATGCAAACCCGCCCTGCCCATTCTGAGCGTCTGCAGGCACCAAGCTCTTGGTCACCTTGCAGAGACTTGATATGACAACGGCCCAGGGAGGCAGGAGCAAGCACAGGCATCAGCCCCATTTTATATCAGAGATGGGGGCCCCGTGCTTCTCGTCACGGGGCTCACAGTGGCAGGTCAGGTCCGAAATCCTCGGCTTGGGTTTGCCCACTTACTGTACCCACGGTGTAGACAAGTCTACACACACGGAGATAACCTCCCACCTCGAGAGGGGTATCTCAGTATGTTACAGAGACACCGAGGGCCACAAAGACAGAAACCCCTGTGGTCCAGAGGATGGAAGTCACACTCTTTCTGGGGGCAAGAAAACACCAGTAATGCACAGAGCTGCCTCCTACTGTTTGCTCTTGGTCATGGACCTGAGCAACATGTGCTATGGAACGTGACTAAAAGCCAAGAATCTGATTTCTGGTCTCAGGCCTACCCCACCTGGGTAATCTTCAGCATACTGCATGCCCTCTCTGGACCCCGGGGCCCTCGCCTACTAAAGGGGAGGTTGCATTAGCTCAGGCATCAGACTGTGTTGCCCGGAGCTCCAGCGCTCCAGAGAGGACAGAGGGGCCCCTGCTTTCATTCCCTGCCGCGACACTATAATCTGTGTACGCAGTAGGTTCCTTATAGGGTTCTGTTAGATAAAAGACATCACTGATTAAGAAATAACAAAAGGCTTTAACCCCCCTGGATTAGCGGGTCTGAGGATCTTCCCCCTACAACACATCACGATTTCGTGAGCAGGGAGTAACGCATCAAAGCATTTCAGCCGGGCGACTTACAGTGTCCGTGCTCCCGCTACCCATGGGGTGGCCCCTGCTGGCTCTCTGGGGCAGCACCGGCTTCATGGGGTCTGCCTTCCCGTTGTGACACGTCCGGGACCGGTCTGAGCTCCACAGCTCAAAGCTGGAAGGGGGTAAGAAAGGGGGGATGACTGCCTTCAGCTTGTCACTCGGGAGTCTGGTGAAGGGGGCTCCGTTTCGAAGCTGAAAAAGACAGGCTGTGGGTTAGCCACAGGCCCCGGAGGGCTCCCTGCTCTGAGAGAAAGACTCCAGATCTTTTCTGCTTCTCAGAGAATGGCACCACCTACCCCTCCACCCAAGCCAGAAGCCAACGTGGCGTCCTCAGCTCTCCTCCCAGCAACGGGGCAGAGCCCACGTCTGCTCCGCTCCAGCTCCGGGCTTCTCCCAGACCCATCCACGCAGCCAGATTAGAGCAGGGACAGAGGATGGAGAGCCCAGCGAAGCCAAGTGAGGCTGAGTGTGCCGGGAGGGGCAGGGGAGGCACTCCCTGCTGCAGGCAGAGGGGCCTCTCGGAGGAGGGGCACCTGGGCTGAGCCTGTAGGCCGAGGCAAGCAGGCCCAGTGAGGAGGGGGGAAAGGACACTGCAGATGGAGGGATGGATGTGGAAAGGCCTGGAGAGAAGCAGGACGCGTGCAGGACGGCAAGGAGGCTTGTGTGTGATCACAGCTGGGCTTTCGGGAGGAAGGGGCAGGGGGGAGGGCACTGGGAGGCAGGGCTAGCTCTCTCTGAGCCCAGGAACCGCTCCCTTCCCCTCCCACCACACCCATCCCACTCTCCAGCCACACCTCCCACTCTGACATTTTTAACTGAAACTGAATTTTACATTTTGAAAATGTGGTTTGGGGTCGGTATAAAATTCACACAATGAGGACTGGTGGACTGTCAGGGAAAAGCATTCACACAGTCCACACTAACTTTAATTAAGAAAAGACAGTGAACTTGGTGCCAGATGGTGCTTTACAGGAAAGGGCACCCCACAGCTAAACCTGCCTCCAAGCCAGGCGTCTCCACAACGCCCATTCAGCAGGGCTCCCTGGCCCCTTCCATCTGCCAAGGGGCAGGTGCGCACACTGCTGCCCTCTACAGGGCCCGAGGAGGTGGGACAGCAGGGCTCCAGGGCAGAATGGGCACCCTGGGTGCCCATCACGGCTCATCTGAACCTTTCTGGGAGTCTCTGAACAAGGGCGGTGCCCTCGGGACCTCGGCAAGTTCATCCAGCAAATGGGGGGTTGTACTGGAAAATGACTAAGGACACTGGCAGCTGCAAACCCACCGGAGATGGACATTCTCACTCCTTCAGGTGAGTCTATAAACTGCTGCCCACTTTCCGGAAGGCAATGACATTCACACCCTTTGATCAAAGAATTCCATTTCTAGATATTTACCCCAAGGACAGAATCAGGCGAGTGAGGGAAACAGGCATAAAGATATTCACTGGCACTGTGGAATCAACAACTAGAAACCCCAAAGTCCGAAGGCCAGACCTCACTATCACCCAGGCACACGCCCATGATGGAATGTGACACGCAGCCGTTAGATGCGACGTGGACAGTGTTCAGTGATGTAGAAAAATGAAAAACTTTTCATAAATCATGAAAAGCAGTTAACAAATCAGGCTCAGCACCGTCTGGAGAAGATAACAGTGTCCACTGTGCACACTGTCAGAGAGGCTTAAAGAGTGAATGTATGTGCTGAGAATAGCGGCCGATGCTTGGTCAGTGCTGAGTGATCTGCTGTTATTCTAAACAGCATTATATCAGATTCATAAATGCTAAAAATGATAGGGGAAATGCTCAAACAATATATGCCACACAATGCCAATCATGATTATATGTGTAATCAGGGAGATTTCATTTTTCTTCTTTATATTTTACTATATCTTCCCAAATTTCAACAGCTTTTTTGTCATATGGAAAGTTGTTATTGCTATTTAATATCAAATGTTAGGTGGTTAAAGCTCCCACAGCCAGTGTGTAGAGAGACCCATCTGCACTATCACACAGTGTACAGGAGCAGGCAGATCTAGGTCAAGACCCATCGCTGCTAGGCGGGTCCTGAGACTGCCTGTCTTCTAAGGGAGCTCCTCCACTCCCTTCTCCTCTCCAATACTGCCCTCTCCTGGCCAGCCTCCAGATAAGGGTCTGAGAGCTATATGGACTTGAGTCTCACCCCAACCAGGAGGCTCTCATTTCAGAGCAGAGGAACATGAAGCCCAGAGAGGTGCGGTAACATGTCTAAGGTCACACAGCAGATAACAGAGCTCACTGTGAGCCAGACACTATGCTAAGATCTTCCTGTAGGTGATCTTATTTAAATACTACAATCAGCCCTGGCCAGTGTGGCTCAGCGGTTAGCATGTCGGCCCTTGGACCAAAGGGTCATGGGTTCGATTCCCGGTCAGGGGACATACCTGGATTGCAGGTTCGATCCCTGGCCCCAGTCAGGGCACGTGCAGGAGGCAATCAATAGATGTCTCTCTCTCTCACACTGATGTTTTTCTCTCTCTCCTCTCCCTCCTCCTCCTTCTCTTCCACTCTCTCTAAAAAGCAATGGAAAATATATCCTCGGGTGAGAATTTACAACAACAAAAAACCCACATCCATGAGAGATAGCATCTTTAAGCCAGAGACCGCTAGCTGTCCCCTAGGATCCATCTTCCACATCCTCCTTAGTGACACCCCTGATATTTAGCTGGGAACACAACCACCCGGAACAAAGACTTCACTTCCCAACCTTCTGTGCAGTGATGTGGTCATGTGACTAAATTCTGGCTAATCTGATGTAAACAGAAATAATGTGTGAGTTTCCAGAAGTCTTGAAAGACACTGGCATGTACCCATGGCCGCCTCTTTCTTGGTTGCTGGAATGAGGCAGTAATGCCCAGAGCTCTAAGCCATCGTGACCAAGGGGTGACTTGGTAATAGAAGCCATGCCTAAGAGACCAACAAGTAGAGGAACCCAGGTCCTTAACTCCGTGGAACAACGTACCAGTCCTGAACTTCACTTACTTGAGAGAAATAAGCTACTATCTTGTTTATGCCACTGTCATTTGTGGACTTTCTATTACTTACAGCTGAATTTCATCCTGACACATCCCTAGATGAGGAAGCTGAGGTCTCTCTTAGGCTGGAAAATTCTCTGTGAGCCCTCTCTCCCTGGCTCTCCATAACCAAGTGTCCACGTCACCCATCAGTTCCTACCCTTCCATGCCTGGTCCTCAGACTGCCTCCCTGAGAACGTGGTCAAGACCTACACCTGGCCACAGCACCAGCACAGCCTCACCCACGGTTTCGAGCTGGCATCTTTCCGACTCCTCGGTGCCAGGGCTGTACCCGTGCTGCACATTATGAAAGCAACCCCATTTGTGACCACAAGAAAGACAAATGCCCACATCCCTCCTTGTAAATCAATCAACTAATGATTGGGAGAGACCCGAAATGCTTTTAGAAAAGCCCGACACTCACCATGGTTGTCAATAACACATCTTCCTTTTCTCCTCTCGTGCTCCCAGGACCTGAGAGACAAATGGAAGTTTCCTGAAATGACCCCGCCACGAGTTTGAGGCACGAGGATGAGTGACCAGGTTGGCCTTCATCCTGGTAAACAAACTCTCCTGGGAGATTAAATATTTAACAATAACTGGTATTCAATATTTGAATAGAGGAAAGCATTAAAAATGTATCTCAGAGCATGTTTTCAGCTTTTCCATAAACCGTGCTGGGTCAGACAGCGGTGCACCCGGCTCAATAGTCTGTCTCAAACGGTGGTGCCAAAGGAGCTGGTCTGGGTGTGGGGAGTCTCACAGAAGGGATCTGAGCTAAGCAACTTCCCCATCAGTGCGGGAATCTCCTTCAGCACCCTAGCAAAGTCATCTGCTCTGTTGAATACCTCTAGTGTGGGAGAGCTCACTACCGCTCCACCCCCCAGGAAACTCGTTCTATTTCAAAACACTTTCTGTGCAAGGCACACATCACATTTGATAGGTGGGAAAATCACCTCTCCACGGCCTCAGGCCCCTCAGCAGGTGTGTGGAACAGAAACCCAGGACCCTTGCTACTAGCTCCCCCACCCCCCACGCTGGCTGCACCTGTGTCCCTAACTGTCTTTGCAGATCAGCCACTCTGCTCTGGTCACAGTCCAACATCATCTCACCTTTGACATCAGCCTGGGAGGCAGGACACAGGGCAGAGGACTTGGGTCTGACCATTCTGAAGTCCTACTACACCTGCAGCTTTTCCTTACCATTGTCTTTCATCGTGGGGGCCAAATCGGGGAGCCCAGAGCGGCTCGTCTTGTCCTGGGGGGGCGCCCGCATTGTGGAGTCCAGCGCTGGCTCTGGCTCATCACAGAAAGGCAGTGGCTGGTTGCTGGACAGCCCACGGGGCAGCGTCTGCATCAGTTTGAGCTTCCGAAACCGATTCGACATTCGGTTCCACCAGGACTGCCAGGGGAACGCGAGCAGAGGTCACGCACCAGGACACCCAGCCCAGGGACAGTGACTGCTTCACGTGCTTCCCTCCCCTCTCCTGGGCGGTGGCAGGCAGTGCTTGATAACAGGCTGCACCCTTTCCCACTAAACCCTGGTTTTCTACTCCTTCCTGACCCTGCCCTTAGAAGCCATTTCCAACAGGTTGGAGGTAGCAGTGAACCCCAACTGCCGCCCTTTATCTACTCAATCTCCTGACTGCACGGATTTGAGGCACGGGGACCCAGACAGGGGTGCTCCTTGCTCGAAGTCTTACAAGTCCAGAACAGAGCGACAGACACAGAGGCAACACCAAACACCCTAACATCTATCACTGCGTAACCTCCCCCATCCCAGGGACCATGCAAGGTGTCAGGGTGTCCGCACAAGGCCTGGCCACCTAGGATGAGGACAGTTGCCACCTCTCGGGGTTCCTCAGACCCTGTGGCAGCTCAGAGGTTCCTGGCACAGCCCAAAGAAAGGCTGTGAAGGCCTGACCTGGGAGACGGCCGAGAGAAGAGGGGCAGAGGGACCTGTGCCAGCAGCACTGTGAGAAGGATCCGGGGCCCCGAGAGCCACCCCACGAAAGGAATGGCGAGTCTGCAGATCTGAGGAGGTACAGAGGTTCTGGAGGGGGGAGGGGAGCAGGAGGGATACGTTTTTATTTCAAATAAGTACAGCAGATGGGGAGAACGAGAAATTCGAAGAAAAATACCAGGCTTGCAGTTAGAAATAAGCAGCTGGAGCATGGTTTTGGGGTTTCTAGGGGAAGCTGAGGGGGCCTGTGGACCACAGGGAGATCCCAGAATAGCACAACCAGCAAACATTCTACACGCTGAAGCAGAGGCTGTACAGACGGCCTGGGTGGGAGCAGGGGTGTTCACTTTGATTAGCTTAGTACTACATCATGCAGACATTTTAAAAATCCCCTATATTTATAAATTAAGTCTCCACATCAAAATCTGGTTTCTTCGGGAAAAAAAAAGGGAAGATCTGGCAACATGGACCCACATTCTTTGCAAAGCAGCCACTGATGCCACTAAGTGGTTATGATGACCCTAGTTTTCCTCAGTCCCCACCATTCCCTACCATCATCCCATCTCACTTCCCACCCCCGCCAACAGAGCCCTGACCCCAGCCGTGGGTTAAGAGGAAGTGGCAGGCATTCCTCATCCGTAGACCTGGTCCTCTGAATCCCTTTAAGACAGGAAAAGGCAAACCTTGAGCCCGCCTTTGTCATCGGGCAGCACTGGGACACTCCAGGGCTGTCGGACCTTCGAGTAGGGCGGGGGTGGCGGGTGGCTGGGCCGGCCTTTGTCTTTATTCACCTGCATGCAGACAGATGCCAGCAGTCGAACAAGTTCCGTGTCTATGGGCACAAAAGGCAGCGTTTTACCTGCAAATATGTCTGTTGGGCTTTGGGAACTGGGCCCAAGATGACCCCATCAGCTTTAACTCAGCCCTACAGCTGCAGAGTCTGTTATTCCAGGATCAAGGTGCCCAAAAGGTGGCCAAAGGCCAGCGGCACTGAACCCACCTAATCAGCAAAAAAACCAGAAGCTCTCTTCCCACAGGAAGGCAGGCTGTGTTGTTTAAAAAGTACAGGCTCTGCAGCCAGATGGCAGAGGTTCAAATTCTTCCTCTGTTCCTCTCTGGCTGTTTAACTCCAGGTAGATTAAGGAACCTCTCTGTGCCTGGGTAAAGGGGTGACTACAGTGCCCCCGCGTAAAGATGTCTGGAGGACTTGAGGGAATTCCTGACACAGTAAGAAAAGTGAAGTATTACTGGTTTTTATTAATTCAACTAGGTTATAAAAATAAGCAACAAACAAGAAGAAACTACTACAAACGATTAATAGTGCTTTTCTCTTGACGGCTGTTTCTCTTCTTCTCTCCATGTATTCAATAACAAACATGTGTTTTTTCAAAAAATTTAGGCAAAAAACTTCATTTGAAAATCCACGAGGGAAAAAGAAATCTTCTGGGGAGACACTGTTTCAAGGGGAAATGGTGGGGAGCGAGGGAGGACACGCAGTGAGAGCGAGTCTGTCAGGAAGGCCCGGGCCACGCAGCCTGAGATCAGAGACTCCTTCTGAATGATGGGAGCGGGACCACTGGGCGAGGGGGCCCCTACAGCTGGGGCAGGCCATCTTCCCTGGTCCAGTCACCTCCCCTTCACAGGCGACGTGGAGCTGTTCCCCTCACACTCCAGGAGGACGGAATGGAACCGAGCACGCGTGTGCTGCGTGGGGAGGGGTGGGATGATGGCAATGCTGGTGGCAATGGAGGACACTCTGGCCCGCCACCCGGCAGCTCAGAGCAGCGGCAGGAGTGACAGCAGGTGGGACTGCAGAGGTAGACGGCCCCTCCCCACGGCCAGCAGGCTGGGGCCTAGCTCAGGGCTCTCCCTCTCTGAGCCGAAACCCCTGGATTATAAACATAGAGACCCGCCCTGGCCGGTTTGGCTCAGCAGTTGGAGCGTTGGCCTGCAGACCAGAGAGTCCCGGGTTCGGTTCCCGCTAGAAGCACGTACCAAAAATAAATAAATAAATTAAATAAATAAATAAACAGAGAGACCCTGCCCTTTGAGTTGGCTGAGTGGAAGCCCCAGTTTACAGAGGAGGGCCTGTCGCACTTGGGGAGGGGCCAAGGGGAGCAGTAGTACCAGCTGGAGACCGAGAGGTGGGGCTAGTAACAGAGATGCCTCCAGCGTGGTGCCCTTGACCAGGCAGCCTCCACCTACACACTGGAACTGAGGGGCCATGGCTCCATCTCTGATTCTGCCTGTCACAGCGCCTTCTGGTTTCCTCCTGAGTCCCTCAGAGTTTCTGGCTTGAAGCACAGATACCATTCACGCCTTGCTGGCCTTCCCTCTCCTAGAATCCCAGAGGTTGGTGCTGGGAGAGGCCTCGGGGACCACCTGGTCCCAGCCCAGCCCTTGCTGGAAAGAGAGCAACTTGCCTAGGGCCATATGGTGAGCTCTTGGGGCTTCCCCTTGAATAAGCAAGTGCTTAAAACACAGGTGAGCATCAGGACTCCCAGCCAGAGAAAGGCAATGATGATTAGAGATGGTGAGCATTTTTTCATGTCTCTTGGCCGTTTGTATGTCCTGTTTGGAGAGGTGTCTATTTAGGTCCTCTGCCCATTTTTTAATTGAATTCTGTCTTCCTTTTGTTGAGTTGTATGAATACTCTATATATTTTGGAAATTAACCCCTTAGCATTGTTGTCTATGTCCACTGATTATGCATACATGCATAGAAGTTCTGTGGTTTATCTCTTCCTTCCCCCCCTGTACCCTCCCTGAGGTTTGTCAGTCTGTACCCCACCTCCATGTCTCTGAGTCTATTTTGTTTATCAGCTTGTATTGTTCATTATATTCCACAAATAAGTGAGATCATGTGATATTTGTCCTTCTCTGATTGGCTTATTTCACTCAGCATAATACTCTCCAGGTCCCTCCATGTCATCTCAAAGGTTAATCTCTTTCTTACAGCTGCATAGTACTCCATTGTGTAAATGTACCACAGCATTTTTATCCACTCATCTATTGAGATCAGGAGGAGGGTGTCAATGGGGGGAAAGGGAGAAAAAGAAGAGAAAGGCAATGAAGATTGAGAACGCTTTCCTGAAACAACCCACCAGGATCACTCAGTAGCATCACTAGGTCAAAGGCCGTGTACCCATTTTTTGCTCGAAGAGTGACATCAGCCCCTTGGTTTAGCAGATATTTGACAATTTCCTTATTCCTGGGGAGGAAAGAAAGAGCCAGAGTTAGACCCACTGAAAGCGAAAGCACGGCTTTGCTCCCGAGCAACAAGACGTGACGTTAACCACAGCGCAGCTCTCTGCGCGCCAGGGCACGGACAGCTGCACACAGCCTCGTTCCCTACCCCCGGGCAGGTCAGGCACGAATGAGATGGAAATCAAAGCCTAGTTGCTCCTCCCATGAACACAGTGAACACCGAGGGCTCTGCCCCCAAACCACCTGGCCACCAAGACTACACGCAGGCCCACTCCCCCACCCAGATCAGGACCCTGCACGGTGGAAGCCTCCACAGGCCAAGGTGCTTGAGGTGGAAGTCTGAGGCTCATCAAATAAGAAAACAAACCCCTTGGAGATGATGCAGGAAAATGCTATGATCAGCTGGAACAGGGCATGGAGTCAGACTACTAGCAGCTGCAAGACTGTGTGCAGACCCCTGCCTCTCAGCGAGCCTCCCCAAGGGGGCTCCAGGGGGCGACAAGATGATGGAGAAGGGATTCGGAGCACCAGTCAATGCTGCCATTTCACTTGTTCCAAAGGTTAGAACAAGTGTCCCCATCGGACGTCTCTGAGGAACCACTGGTATGAATGGCCATGTTTATTTCCAATGGGGCAACTTAAGGAGGTCGCCGTGTATCAGCGTGAAAACCCCAGAAGAGGCAATCACCCTGTTCAGCTGAAATCAACCTACAGACACTTTCTTTCTGCGTAAGTTATCTGTCTCTGCTGCCTGGCTCTGAATGGCCACTGGTGAAGTCCTGTGACGAGGTCACAGGAAATCAGGACACAGGAGGGCGGCAACGCAGGAAGGAAGGGCCCGCACATCTTCCACCTTTTTTGCATGCCTCAAGATCTCCCCAGCCCTAGGGTTTATCTGTAGGTCTCAGGACCACAAAGCCCCAGCAGGAACCCCATCCCAGCCTGAGCATCCCAGCAGCCTTGCTGTGGACAAAGTGGGGCTGGCACTGACCCATGATAGGTGGCCTGCATGAGGGCCGTCCAGCCGTGCGCACTGTCCTGCTTGTCGACCTCAGCATGCCTTTCCACCAGCAGCTGCACCAGCGGCAGCTGCCCCATGACGGCTGCCAGCATCAGGGGGGTTGCCCCGTCCCCATTGACCAGGTTCACGTGGTTGGGGTCTTCGTCAGCTATCTCTTTGACCAGCTGGAAGTTTCCTATAAACAGAGGCAATGGTCCATGGGCCTGGCACCACAGGCTTATATACCCAGTGGGTTCATTTAACAAACACTTGCTGATCCTGCCTCTGCACTGAGCTGCAGGGGATCGAAGATGAGTCGGAGGTAGCCCCCACTCTCAAATCCCTCAGCCTATGAAGGACAGAGACAACGATACAAACAGCTTTACTAACAGATAGAAAAGTAGGTGTCTACAGAGGACAGATGAAGGAAACAGAGAAAGGGCAATGCCCATGCAGAAGGAGAGTACAAGTCTGGGTAGGGGTTGAGGATCAGGGAGGGCTTCCTGGAGGCGGGGTCTATTTCAGAAGAGGACATTTTAGGCTAAACAGTCCTTCATCACAAAGAGACTGAAGTAGGTAGGTGGGCAGCCAGGCATTTCAGAGGTAGGGAAAGCCAGGGTCTAACCAGGGTCTGGTGAGGTGGAGGAGCCTGGGAGGCTAGAATCTGCTTGTAAAGCACCATAACAACTACCAGTCTCCAGGGTCTGAACCTTCCTGGGTGAAACTACAGAGTCAAGAAACAACAAAATGCCTGTTTCTTTCTCACATACTCTGGGTGGCCTTGACAAGGGCTACAAATATTAGGTTGGGAGAATGTGGTGCCGAATACTTAAATACCCAAAAAGATCTTCTACAGCACTTACCCATTTTCAATGCGTGGAAAATATCAGGCCGCCTTTTCTCCTCATCTAGGTAAACAAGGGTTTTAAAAGTTAAGCACTGGAAGGTTTACTATCACAACAGCAAAGTCACAAGAGTGTAACAACATGGCCTAGCTTTTAAAATTATCTACTTTTCAAAAGCGATCTAATTAGAGCCCTAAGAAACGGGCACATCCAGCAGCCTTTCTGGAGTGCTGTTATCAAAGCATGACCGAAAGCGCTTCAGAGACAGATCTGGCCAAAATGACATAAACAAGCAGCGGACTATTCCCTGATCTCACAACATCAAGTTTTTGGGCATTCCAAACTTTGGGATGTGCTGTCTTCGATACGATAGAAAAGTATAGTCTTGGAAAAATCTGAACTCCTATGAAAAATTTTAAAAGAAACAATGATTCTTTTCTCCTAAAAACAAAATGGACAACCAGGAGATAATTGCAGAGCTGAGGACCCTGAGATGCTAAGCAACTAAGCCCAGGGGAAGGCCATGGATGTGGCCTCCAGGAGAGAGGATGTTCATGTTTGCTTTCCTTCTGAAACGAGAAACAATCTGGATATGATTCTGAGAGTCATCCCTGCCTTACAACTGCAGACACAGCTCCCTGCAGATGACTGCCCACCTGATGTGTTCACGCTGGTCCCTGCAGCCCAGTTGCTTGGTGGTGCAGGACCCCTGCTCCCCCTGCTGACCCCCAAAGCAGGGTCTTGCTGCACCTACCCAATGCCAGCCCCTCCCTCATCTGCTCAGCCATCACCTTCCTCAAGCTTGACTAGTGGGGACCCTGCTCCTGTCAGAAAGCAGACGTCGTCATGACCAGTCCCCCCCCCCACTGGTGGGAAAAGGCAGGACTTCCTGCCGCCTCTGACTAGCACCAGGTATGGAGCAGCTGTAGGAGGAAATCTGCAGCTCTGGGCTGAATCTCTGGTCCAGGTCAGCCCCACCGGGCAGCTGGGAGGAAGCCGCAGCATGACACAGGGAGCCCGAGTCCAGAGTCAGCATATCAGAATGAGTGCCTGTCTCTATAGTAATCTGTCTCCTCATCGCTAAACGGGGATAACATGTTATGTTCAGGCTGCGTGGTGATTGCAGGGATAAAGAATACAGATGGGAAATGATTCAGAAATGGTTAGGTCCTATTCAAAGAACAATTTTTGTTATCTTTACTAGTAACCAGCACCCACCCCAGCAAGGGTAACTACTTAACTGCAGGGTTGTTAAAGGAAGGGTAGACACGGAACAAAGTGTCTGATTTTGCCTGTAAAATACTATTATGAAACAAATCTGCATCTTAGTTTTAATAAATATGACATGTTCCTTTAAGTGTTTCAGAGTCTAATCTGCTGTGGGCGGGTACTCTCTCATTCCAAGACCCTCTGACAGAAAAAAGCATATCACCTGGCCTTAGTTCTGGTAACTAAGCAACCGTCTGGTACAAATGAATCCCTGACAGTCTAGCTTGACCCCAGGAGGCCAGGGCAGCTGTGAACCTGATGTCCAGTGACCCTGGACTGGTCCCTTCCTCACTCCGGGCTCCAGGATTTGCATCGTTATCAGAGCAGCTCTGGGGACCCTGCCCCAGCCCAAGAAGCCACCATAGTGGGGTGGAGAAGGTATCACAATGACAATTATAGCCTCTAAGGTAGCTTGCTACAGCTAAGTCAAGGGAGAGACCTAGGGGTCCCTAAGTCCCTGGTAGGGTGAATTTCCCCGCATCTCACAAAAAGAGCTAGTAGCTATTGTTATGTCTTTGATAACCTGTCATTATTCGTAACACAGCCTTGGTCCTTGCTACTGTCCCACCTGAAGACTCTCCTAAGAGCCTGCATGGCACATTCCCTCAGGTCCCAAGTCAGCTTAAATATTACCTCCTCCAGGAAGCCACCCGACCTCCAGCCTCATCGCCCCAGCCTGTCTCTCCAAACCCTCGACCTTGCCCCCTGACACTTACCACCTACAGTGCTAGGTAACTTACTGTATTTAATAGGCTGTTTCCTGTTTATTATCAAGGTTCTCAAGGGCAGGAACTGGATCTGACTTGCTCAGACATCCCATGCACTGTGAGCAGGGCCTGGAACATTGTAGGCACTCAACAAATATTTGCAGACTAACTAACTGGACAAATGGTCAATAACCTATTATAACAGCTTCCATCTACTGAGTGCTAGCTATGTGGCAGGCTCTGGACACGTATTTTATAAGCACTGTCTTATTAGAGTTCACAGAACCTTACAAGGTAAGTGCGTTTATTATGATTGTTTTGGGAAAGAGGACACTGAAGTCCTGAAGGGACAATGAACATGCCCAGGCCACCTAGCCATAAAGTGAAGAACTAGCCTCAAAGCCTGGTCAGCTTGAGGGGGAAGTCTATACTCACAGCCACAGCCTGATCCCGTCAAATATGACAACAGTCACAGCAGCAGGAGGAATGGCAGGTGCCTGTCCCTCTCAAGCCCGCCCTGTGGGCCAGGGTGACCTCACATAATCCTCACAGCAGTCGTGTGAGGTTGTGCTACTCCTGTCCCCCACTGATGGACAACCAAACAGAAGCTTGGTGAATTCAGGCAACCCACCCAAGGTCCCTTGGCCTTTCCTTCAGATTTTTACCCTTCAGTCCTAGACGCTTATTTACTGCAGCTGTCATTACGGCCTGGGCCGCCTGTCACTGGAGTCAGACTCATCACAGAAAGAAGGTACTAAGGCTGTGTGTGACATTGCATTTCATGGTCCTACTGTACATGATGAACTGGAAGTTTTGAAATACAATGTATCCTGTGGCGGATTTGCTAAGAATTGTTCAGCCAGTCCTATAAATGCCAGAAAGATGGCAAAAAAGAAAAGAAACAGGACACATTACTAGGTGCTGAAAAACCTCAAAAGTGGGCTGAATTTTATGTGAATTAGTCTTTGGGGACTTGAAGTCAAGCACACTGTTGGCAAATTACAGTCCATGGGCCAAACCTGATCTGCTGTTTTTGTAATTACAATTTTATTGGAACATAGCCACACCTCCTCATTTACATATCACATATGGCTGCTTTTACTCTAGCAGCATTGAGTGATTATGACAGAGACTATGTCTAAAAGGCCCACAAGGTCTAAAATATTTATTATCTGGTTCTTTACATGAAAAATTTGCTGACCCTGTTCTAAAAGGGTCCCAGAACCACCTGCCTCAGAACCACGTGGCCTGGAGGAGGAGCCGTGCTATGTAGGTTTCCAGGCTCTTCCCAGAGCTACCAACACTCTCTCCAGAGGGTGGGCCGGGAACCCTGGATGTAGCTGGCACTCCCAAGTGAATTTTACACACCGCATATCTTAAGTCCTACTGCTCTGCAGGCCGGACTCTGATTTCTGCATGCCCTTCAGTTGGGCAATCCTCAGCTTGAGCCATTTAAACACAGTTTGGGGTCCTCTGGGAAGCTGAGGTTGGGAGGTGAGGGTGAGGAGAAGCAGCCTGACCTGTCTTGGGCCTGACGGTGGTCAGTGGGTCCAGGTAACCCGCAAGGTCCCTGTGCTTGCAGTCCAGCGCGACCTCGAAGGCAGTCTTCTCCAGCACGCTGAGGTGGTCAGGGTTGGCCCCCTTCTCCACCAGCTGCTGGGCCACGCCAAGCCTTCCGATGAGCGCTGCCAGCATCAGTGGGCTCCAGCCCACTGTCTGTGCTGCGTGGTTGGGGTCTGCACCCCACTCCAGCAGCAGACGCATCACGGCCTCATGCCCATGCTGGATGGCAGCCATCAGGGCTGTGATGTCCAGCAGCTCATTCCTGCTGCCCCCCGCTCCTGGCTGCTCGCCTGAGGGGCTGTGATGATCCACGAAGGCACCAGCTTCCAGGAGCAGCTTCACAACACCCAGGTGGCCACCCCGAGAGGCCACGGTGAGCACACTGGCCCCCAGCCGGTTCTGAGCATTGACGTCAGCCCCGTGATCCAAAAGCAGGTGTGCCACGCTCACGTGCCCAAATCTGCCAGGAAGATGAAGAATCAGTGACACTAAACATGGACCACTGACAAGGAAACACTTAGTTAACACTCATTTGTCATTAACTCCTTGGAGCTGCTTATAATAAAAGGCCTTTCTGGTGCGGGGCCCTGCATATGTACCACCACAAAGGTGAGCAACTGCCCTGCTGAGTTTGAATCCAGTTCTGCCATCCACCTGCTGCATGACCTCGAGAAAGAACTGTAACTTCTTTATGCCTTCATTTCCTCTTCTGTAAAATGGGATGTAACTGTATTGACTTCAAGGGCATGTTAAGGATTGAGTTACTATACCTAAACATATACTAAATGTATAATTATTAAAGCCCCTAGAACAGTGCTTGGCCAAAGGAAGCGCCACATAAACGTTAGCTGTTACCATTGTAATCGTATTACATTATGCAACATGCCAAGGTTACCCAGATGGCAAGAAGCTGCGTCAGTCAGAACCCAGGTCTGTCTGAATCCTGCTGCCCTCCCCCTTTTCCCTACACCACGCTGCCTCCCACATCTCAGAAAGGTCATTTTATTCTGCTTTGTGGCCTGGTAATCTCTCTCTCTGCCAATGCCGATTCCCCAAGGGCAGGGCCCACGTCTGAGCCATGTCTACCCTTCCCTCCCCAAATGCACACAGAGAGAAGGTCCTAGCGGAGAGGCACCAGACCCCATGCCAAGAGGTGTGGCAAGGTTGTGGTCAGCTGAAATAGGCTCTCGTGTGTCACCAGAGGCCTGCTGCCACCTGCTGGCAGGAATGTTTCACCTCCAGAGGCTTAGATTTGGGCCTTGGGCCAGACCCCTCTGAGTGAAGCTTAGGGAAGGCCCTGCTGGGACACTGGGGAGACAAACAAGCACCCATCTCATACCAGGAAAAGGAAAACAGAAGCCTCTTCCTAGCAAAAGCTCTCCCTTCTTTGCAGAAAAGTTCTGTTTTACAGCACCTCGGGTTGGCACACTCTTTCGGGGCTCAGAGCCCTGTGTCAGAGCTGGAAGAGGCCTGGCCTAACGAGGAAAGAACGACCAGAAGAGAAGGCCGGGTCTTACCAGCCCATACTGCCTGCCTACGCTGCGTCCCCAGGCAGCTTTCTGAATCTCCTTAGTCCACTCCTCCTCCCCGGAAGCGACTTTTGTGGCTCAGGACACCCAGGGCCTCCCTCCCCGCTACGGAGGCAGAGCCAAGGCTGCTCTCTGGTTTGAACTTAAATACCTTCTGGGACGTGAACCTTAACAGCACCAGGGCCCTTCCGCCCACAGAGGGCTGCGCACGGAGCCACAGGGCACTGGGCCTGTCCTCCTCCTCGCCAAGAGCAGCGAGAGGGCAAGTCAGGCTGAGATAAACTCAAAGGCAGAAAGCTGCAACCCCAGTCTGTCCCCTTGCTTCCAGTGTCGTTCCTTCCTGCCCATCCTTCATGATATTCCCCAAACCGAAAATGATGCTCAAACCCTACATCTGATGGCCACTTCCCACTGTCTGAAAACCTGCCGACTTCGTCCATCTCAAAGTATCCTCGGGCCATGCTCATCTGTATGCACCAATTATTAGACTCTCCAAAGACAGGACTGGGTGCTGACCCAGAGTGGAGCTCAGTAAACTGTCAGATAAATGAGTGACTGAATGACTGGCATAACCACACAGAGGATGGTCCAGAGACAGGCAACGGAAATGACTGCAGAACTGGTATATCCTCCACTGGGACAGATCATTTAAAAGATACACTACTTAGTAAGCAAGCATGAGATAAAATCTAGTATAATTCCTAACAGTATTACAAGGTACTGTCACGTTTTTATCTCATTTGATCTTAATAAACCCTGAGGTAAACTGCCCAGTTCACAGAAGAGGAAATCAAGATTAGAATGGCAAGCAATAACCCAGAAATGTGAACGTGACAGAGCCAAACCTTGAACTTGGACCTGAAATCCCAAACCCCACTCTTCTGGTAGAACACATTTTCTCAGAGGAAGAAGAGGGCTGAATTTCAGCAGAAATGCTGACATTTGGAATGCTTTCTGAACTCATGGGGTAGCCCAAGAGGTCATTCAATCAGGCTGAAAATATAAAAGGATTCAACAAAGGCTGAGATAATTTTGTGGATGCTAGATTTCTAATAGGTAATTACCTAAGATAGGGAAGCTGGGGCTTTCTGAACAGCTGCTACTATTACCAATTAATTTCTGCAATTAACACCTGTGTTTAAAGACCTGGCACAGATACTATCACTCAAAGCACTGGGTGGAGAGCCCAGCTCTGCCACACTGGCAGGAGGAGAAATGAAAGGCAAGAAAAGGAAAGAAGCCAACCTGATCCTTTAGCATCAGGTAAATTTGGCAAGTGGCTTCCTGTGGCCAACACCAAGAAGAAAAAAATCAGTCACAGAATTCACAGCTGAGAGCACAGGCTGGGAGCACCTGCCAGGGTGTGAATCTGACTCTGCCACTTACTAGCTGTGTGATCTTGGGCAAGTTACTTAACTTCTCTGAGCCTCCATTCCCTACCTGCAAAACGCAGATGACAACAGTACCTACTTCCTGAGGTTTTGTGTGGGGTGAATGAGTTAATTCATTTAAAGCACTTAGCACATTGCTCAACACAATGTAAGTGCTCAATAAAGGCTATCATTTTAAGAATAGGAAAAAAAAAACCCCACAACCACCATGAATGTAACCATCGACAAGAGACCAAATTGCAGTGCAGGCACAGGGTCCCTGATAGCCTGGCCTGATCCAATGAGCTTTGGAATGTAAAGAGCTGGGGTGATAAACAGATGCTCTCTTGCATGGAAAGTGGTGGCTGCAGGGAGCACTGTCGGAGGCACTCTGAAGTGTATCTAGATTCAGGGAGGAGGAGTACAGACTGGAACATGTTGGCATACAGCCATGCATTTGCCCATCCTCCCAAGTACAGACAGACCGTACGTATATCCTTCATAAAGTCTCCCATATATAGGATTCCTCAGCATACTGAGTAAGCAGCAGAAAGCTACAGCACAACCCAACATAGACAGAGGTGACACCTGAGTACGGACGGTCAGTATCGGCAACTGAGGGACAATACATGATAAAGTACCCAGGCCCTGTCTAGGTCAGTTCTAATCCTCTTATAGATAGGATTGTCATATTCTACCATATTCTCATGGGAGTAACTAAGATCACAGGTCATAGCTAACGCTCCCAAAGCAGCACCAGGAAGATAAATGAAGGAATAAAGAAGAATGTAATTAATCCAGAGCCTGATTCGCAAGTGACAAAATCAGGACACCAGGACTACAAATTCCAGCAGGCAGTGCTGTAGAGAAGGAAAGTTCTCTAAAAATGCTAAAGTATTAGTTAACAGAGTTTAGGTTAATTCTTCTGCGTTTCCTGCTCCATCAACAGTAATGGAACTTAATTAGATGAAATTAATCAGGTGACTGACCAACATGCAGAACTTGGTTAATAGCAAAAACTGGAGAAAGGGGGTCTCTGAGACACCCTAAAGCATGCCAGGTGCTGCGGTCACAAGCGGGCGGAAGAGCAGGGAGGAGGGATGCATCAGTGGCTCCCAAATCTGCTGTGTGACAGAATCGCTGGGGGCCTCTTCTCACACAGCCCATCCTTCACTCCTTCCCCACCGGGTCTTCTAAATCACAACCCCCAGAAAGGGAACTCAGGAATCTGACTTGGAAAAAGCACCCTGATGATTCTGATGTGTGGCAGGTTTGGGTGCCACTGAGGAAGGGGACCAACTATAACATGGGGTAGTGGGCACTACTACAGGGGCTCTCTCAGAGCTAAGAGACCAGGAAACAAGGGGATGTCATGGCAGGTTTCCCAGAAGCTAAGCTGGGAGGAAGAGGGGGGCTTCACTGAGGGCTCTGGAGTCAGATTTCCCAAATTTGCTGACAAGCTGTATGCGCATGAGCAAATTCTGTAATCTCAGATTCTCATCTGTAAAGTGGAGCTAATATTCTTGGTACACAGTAAATGCTCAATAAATGTTAACTGCCCCCCCCCCCAAAAAAAAAACCCACAAGGAGACACAGAAAAAGTCTGAATGAAATCATCTTGGCCTGAGTTTAGGTTTAGTTTAGGAAGTTTAGTTTACATCCTAAACTGAGCTTAGCTCCTAAACTGAGCTTAGTTTAGGAAGATGGAAGGAAAGCAGAAGAGAGAATTTGGGGAGGGGTCTGAAGGTGAAAGTTAAATGCCCTACTGAGGGCTCTTACCAGGGGAGCCAACACAGGAGAGGCACAGCAATCATTTCAGAAAGATCTAGAAACTCTAGAGAGGATGGATTAGAGAGGGCACACCTGGAGGAAGGCAGAGTAGTAGAAGTCCCCTACAAAGTGTGGCCTGAACTACGGCAGAGGGGAAGGAGAGAGGGTGTGGATTCAAGAGGATATGGCAGAGACAGGTGAGCAGACTTGGCACAGACAGGTACCAGGGCCCAGGCTTTACCTGGTACTTCAAAGCCTGGAAAAAAGCCTAAGAGAGACAGGGAACCTCAGATGAAAGATGGATAGAACCTAAGGCTTTATGGTCACCCCAGACAGCTCTGGGCAAGAAATCAGGTATCTTAAGACAAAGGGTCCCAATACACAGGTAAGAGCGTAAAACTCTGCATTGCCCATGCAAACAGGCATGCATTCCCTAACTGGGATGTGTTCCCAAAGTGTGTTTATCTTTTATTATTTATTTATTTTTATCCTCACCCAAGGACATTTTTCCATTTTTTTGTTCAGAAAGAGTGGGAGGGAGAGAGAGGAAGGGAGAGAGAAACATCAATGTGAGTGGGACACACTGAGTGGCTACCTCCCGCATGACCCAACCAGGGCCAGAGACAAACTGCAACTGAGGTACGTACCCTTAGCGGGAACCGAACCCGGGTCTCTCTGGACCAAAGGCTGACACTCTAACCGCTGAGCCAAACCGGCCAGGGCCCAAAGTGTGTTTATTGATTGAAATAAATGCCCAAGGGTTGAGGAATGATTAAGCAAACCATAGTACTGTCCCATGGATAGACTATCTCACAGCAGTTTAAAACAACATATTTGAAAATAATGCAGAATAAAATTTTTCCAGCAATACAAACTAATTAGAGAGACTATGTAACATTTGGAAAAGAACTCAAAGAAATAAAATATCATCAGCATTATGACTAAGAACGTCATGTTTTCAATGCCTTTTAGAAAAACAAATGGCTTATACATATGGAAAGATGCTTCACTTCACTCACAATTTTAAAAATGCGAATCACAGCTACACTGAGATTTTTCATCCATCAGACACAAAACCCACAAGTTTGCTAACATACTATTGGCGAGGCTGTAGAAAAGCAAGCACTCACACACACCGATGCTGGGAGGGTAAACTGGTATATTTATTGTGGCGGGCAGAATTATAGGTCCCCGAAGATGTTCACACCCTAATCCCCAGAACCTACATTAGGCTTCATGGCAAAAGGGAAATCAAGGTTGCAGATAAAGGTATTAATCATTGAGGTTGACAATCAGCTGATCTTGAGATGGTGGAGTATCCTAGATGACCTAGGTGGGCCCAGTGGAATCACAAGGGTTCTTTGATGTGGAAGAGAGGGGTAGAAGGGTCAGAGTCAGATGTGAAGACAGAAGTTGCTGGCTTTGTAGAAAGTTGTACAGCAGCCATTGGAAGCAATGTGGTAAAATCCACCAAAATGACAAATGACCTGCATTCCCTTCTTGGGGAAATTCTGCAAGAAACTGAGGGGTGTGTGGGACCTAAGGAGATGGCTGACAGGAGTAAGAGACTTCAGTGTATACCAGAGTTTCTCTACACCAGGGTTTCAAGTCCTGTTCACCCTGCTTCCTGAGTACATCTCAAACTCACCTCTTGCTCTCCCAATGCTGTCTCTGCTCTGGTCCAGGCCAACATCACCTCTTCCAAGGCTGCTGCAACCGCCTCCTTACCAGCCTTACTCTAGCCCACCTCTCCAATCTGTCCTCACACTGCTGCGAAAGTGATTTTCCAAAACCATCTGATTCTGTCACTCCCTCTGCCTAGAACCTTCCATTATTCCCCAGTGCCTTTAGGATAGCTAACCTTTCCCAGCCCTGCCACAGGGCATCTGCCTTCTCTCCAGGGAGAGCTCATCCCCCAGTACTCCCAGCCCCCTTCCAGCCATAACATCTTTCTGACACTCCTACCAAGGCTTTATGTCCACTTTTGCCTCCAAACCTTTGCATGAGTCTCCTCTCACCTCCCACTTCTTCTGTCCCGGTGAATTCCTAGGCATCCTCAGGTCTCCATTTGAATATATACATCATCCTTACCAGAAACCTTCCCCCGCCTCCCCACACTGAGTCTGCTACTGCCGGAGCTCCCTGAACTTTCCCCGTCAAGCCTGTTCCCTTGTCTGGCCTATCTACCCACTGGCATGTGAGCTGCTCCCAATGGGACTTCGGCTGGGTCCCACAGCATCCCCATCACCAGGCTAGGTGGGTGGGTAGCTCTTAGGAAACCCTTGTTGCAAGAAGGGAGGAATGAACACCTCTAAGACGGAATCCCCAAGGCTGCACTCGCAGGGTCCAGATTCTGTTTTGAAAGGCCAATGTTTCTAAGACTCTGATTTCATGTTATTAAAAAGCGCTTCCATTTCTCGTCGCATCCCAAAGCGGCTCAAAGTTTACCATTCCAAGTCTCTAGAATGAGCCCTTGACCTTGTACCCCCGGGGCGCCCGCCGGGTCCGCGGGCAGGTCTGGCAGCCGACCCCGCGGACCGCTGGCCCCACCCGGCGCCCGGCCCCTCACCTGGCCGCCTGCATGAGCGCGCTCCAGCCGTAGTGGTTGCGGCTGTTGACCGAGGCGCCGCGGCGCAGCAGGAAGCGCACCAGCGGCTCGTGGCCGCCGGCCGCGGCGAACTGCAGCGCCGTGTTGCCTGCCTCGTCCGAGCAGTCCACGGGCACCGGCGCTCCGGCCGCCGCCGCCCCGGGCCCGGCCGCCTCGGCCCCCGCCGGCTCCGCGCCTGCCTCGGGCTCCGCGCCGCGCTCCGCCGGTTCCGCCGCCCCCGGCTCCAGCAGCCGCCGCGCCGTCTCCGTGTCGCCTTGGTCGCAGGCGCGCAGCAGGAGCTGGAAGGCCGGGGGCAGCCCGCCTTCGCCCATCGCGGCCCGCGGCCCGCGCCCGTCTGCCCCGCCGGCCGCGCCGGCTCCGCCCCCGGATACCGCGCGCTGGCGCCCCCTTCCGCCCGCCTGCGCGCCTACTGTGTGCCGGGCGCGCGCCCGGGGCGAGGTGGGTCTCCGCCGCCGCGGCCGGCGCCCCGCGGGTTCCGGGAAGCAATGAGTGGCGTCCGAGGCCCTGGCTCTCGGGTCCACCTCTGTCTTCCCCGCGGCTCCGGAGACTTCCTGCCCCAGCCTTCCTGCGGCTGCGAGCTCCGGGCCGTGGGCCCGGGTCTGAGTCCACCGCCGCGCGGGCCTGGCCCGCCGGGCTTCCTAAACAGTGTTGACTGATGAGAGGCCGCAGGGGTCCACTCTGTCCCCACAGATTGCCCCGCGGGGCCTTTACTGCCAGTCCTTAGCTGGGCAGGGCCCCTGGGGCTACAAGTGCCTCCTGTACCTTTCTCTTCATCCGTGGTTCTAAAATCACCATTGGGGACATTTTGCAAATGCAGAGTTTCTGCCTTCACCCCAGGACTACTGAACTAGGACCTGAGTGTGGAGCTCTTCCCTACAGCTGTGTTTTAACCAGCTCTCTAGGTGATTCTGATGCTGCAGTTTGAGACCCTGTATGATCCTCAAAGCAGTCCTGTCAGCCACCAGGTGATCACCCCGAATATACAGAGCAAGCAGCTGAGGCTTAAAGGGGTGTACCTTGCTAAAGGCCACATGATTCTCCTGCGGGAGAGCTGTTGACTAGAACCCACGTCTTCTGGTATCTAGTCCAATTCTCTTTCTATTCTCAACAAATAGTAATTGAGTACCTACTGTGTGCCAGGTACTTTTTTAGGTGCTGGGAAAACTATAGGGAACAAAATAAACTTCCTGCCTTCCTGGACCCGACAGTGGAAAGAGAGGCTGTAAATACACAAACAAGTAAGGACCGAGTATGAGTGATGAGTGCTATTCAAAAAATAAATAGAACATAACAAATCCAAGTCAGTAGGACAGAGGATGGGATGCTATTTTATAGTAGGGTGGATAAGGTGTCACTGAGAATGTAACAGTTGCACAAAGATGGGAAGGAATTGAGAAATAGATCCATGTTGACAATTGAGAGAGCACAACCCAGGCAGAGGGAAAAAGAGAAAGAGTCTAATGAGAGCAACCCTGCCTGCAAATTGCTGATGCCATCTGCTCATTGATCTGCTCACTGAGGTAACATTAACTTCTGATAGGGGATAATTGGTTTCCATAGATTGTGAGCTGTGGCCCCAAAGCCTAGCAAAATGGCAGGTGTATGGTAGGTGCTCAGTCCGTAATTGTGAAATGACTAAGTCTCACAAATATAGAGTTATAATACAAAACAAAACTTGATGCATAAGAGTCATGGTGTTGGCAGATCTAAGAAGATGGTAATGTCCTTAGGATCTGGGCCAGTAGGGCTAGAAGAAAAGGTCTAGGCAAAGTGTAAAGATAAGGAAAAGTCTCTACGTACGAAAGACTCAGATTGCAAAACACTTCAGTACCAGGTTAAAGACTATGGGATGTATGGAAATTGTTTGAGCAAGTGAGTGACAGGGATAGAGCAAATCACTTAGGCCCAGTGTCAGAGGTAATACACTGTCACTCATTTCCAGATTTGGATCCATTCACCACAACAGAGTTGAGGATGACTTCTTTTTGAAGGTCTAATGAAGACTTTTGTTTCTGTGAAAATCATGAGCAATTGCATCCTTGTCTTATTCTGTGTATTCAGTGTTTCTTCTTATATTTTTACTAACTAGTTGTCCCATTATAAATGTAATATACATGGAGCCCTGGCTGGGTGGCCCAGTTGGTTGGAGTGTCGTCCCATACGCCAAAAAGTTGTGGGTTCGATTTCCGGTCAGGGCACATACCTAGACTTCAGGTTCCATTCCCAGTGGGGGTGCATACGGGAGGCAACTGATTGATGTTTCTCTCTCTTTTATTCTCTAAAATCAGTAAAAACAAACAAACAAACAAAAACAAACCATATCCTCCGGTGAGGACTGGAAAAACCGTAATATATATACATGGTAAAAAAATAAATTTCGCCCTGGCCAGTTTGGCTCAGCGGATAGAGCGTCGGCCTGCGGTCCGGAGAGACCCGGGTTCGGTTCCTGCTAAGGGCACGTACTTTGGTTGCAGTTTGTCCCCGGCCCTGGTTGGTCATGCGGGTGGCAGCCTCTCGATGTGTCCCTTCACATCGATGTTTCTCTCTCTCTCTCCCTTCCTCTCTCTCCCTCCCACTCTATCTGTACAAAAAATGTAAAAATATCCTCGGGTGAGGATAAAAAAATTAAAAAATAAATAAATAAATAAATAAATTTCACCAGGACAAAAGGGTGTGAAACAAAAGCAAAAGCCCCTATCCCTCCTCTCCCACTCTCTGCTCTACTTCCCACAGGAAGCCAATATTCACATTTAGTTTATCTTTCCAAAGCTGCACACGTCGGCATTCATCAAACTTCTTTATTGTACGAGAGAACTAGTCTCGGAGGTTGCACAGCCAGGAACAATGTCCCAAATCATGCTACAGCTGCACCCTATACAAGGGTGGCATCTGTACAGGCCCTTTTTGGTGTCACCGGCTTGAGAGTCAGACCTGAGATTGGAGTGGCTCAATAGCCCGGGTCACATGTTTTGCCTGATAGAAAAGGAGGCTGGGAAAGTGTGTTTCTGGCATTTTCAGCATCTATAGGGGGAGGTAGGCTCCCGTATAGGTGCCTCCAAAGGTAGTATAAGAAAGAGGTTCAGATGCTGGGCAGCCAAAAAGGATAACAAATATCCACTACAAACATACCCTCTGGAGTGGACCTCTGTTGCTTATACCTGCCTTGCCTCTGTTTGTCTGGAAAGAAACACCCTCTTTCTTTCGGGGCGCCTCCTTCTCCCACTCTCAGTCCATGTGGTTTGGTGGTTAGCGTATGTCCAAGCCCATCCTAATGGCTTCAGCCCAGGATTTGTTGTTAAAGCACCTGAGAGTGAGGCCCTCTCTGCTGAGGTTGTCAGCTGTCACTATGTCAAGCTGTCGGGATGTCGCGAGCCAAGCTGGTGTTCTCTCTGCCACCACTTAAAGACAGCCTGCCTGAGAGTGAAGCCACCACACAAGAAACCAGAGGCAGGTGATAGGAAGGGACAGGGTCAGAAATTCCACCCTGCCCTGCTTTTGTTGTTAGGTTTGTTTAGAGCAGGGTCCTTGTCAGTCATGTGTAATCCAAGCCTTAACAAATGTATATTTTACTTTTCAAATGAATGGGTTCACACTGTGCATATTGTTCTAAATCTTGTGGGGGTGTTTTTTTGTTTTTATTTTTTTGTTTTCATTTATTAAATGGTTCGAGCATCTTTCCATGCAGGTGAATATAGATCTACTACACTCTTTTTAATGGTTGTATGTAACACCATTAAACAGATGTACCATAATTTAATCCTTTTTAATGATTCACAATTAGCCTATTTCCAGTTTTCGGCTATTAAAAAAATTCTGCATTGGACAATGCTTGCAGCGGTCAAGTCCCAGCAGGAGACAGATGGCACACTTGGCTGAGGAAATGAGGAACATTTACTGAAGGACTAATTCCAGAAGTGTGGGCCAGGTTTACTAGGAGCCACAAGGGCTGGTGCAGTACTCCAAGGCTGGTAACAGCAGGGAGCCATTAACTACCCCAGGCCAAAAGGGAGGAAAGGAGAGAGCAGTTGCTGGAATTCTGCAAGAGAGAAAACGAGAGATCTCTCTGATAGGAGCTATGGCCTTTGGTAGAGGGACACAGCCAATCCACAGCAGCCCCATAGGAAAGGATTCCCATAGGAATGAGAACCTCTGACCGCAGCCTTTTCCTCCTGCTGACCTCTTGCCCGTGCTCCTCGTTGGCCAAACCCAACTTATTTATTTATTTTCAATCCTCACCTGAGGACATTCTTCCATTTTTTGTTCAGGTAGAGTGGGGGCGGGGGGGGGGAGGGAGAGAGGGAGAGAGAGAGACATCGACGTGAAAGGGACACATCGAGTTTCTGCCACCCGCACGACCAACCAGGGCGGGGACAAACTGCAACCGAGGTACACGCCCTTAGCGGGAACAGAACCCGGGTCTCTCTGGACCACAGGTCGACGTTCTAACCGCTGAGCCAAACCGGCTAGGTCCAAACCCAACTTTTAACCAGAGGTTCAGAGCCTGCTGATGGAGCCCTCACAGTGGGCCTCCCAGGGTTCAGAGCAGGGAGGAGAGAATGGGGCAGACAAATAAAGATTCCAGCATCTTGTTGTTCAAAGTGGGCTTGTTGACCAGCAGCATTGGAACCACATGGGAGCTTCTTAGAAACAGCATCGCCCGGCTGGTGTGACTCAGTGGTTGAGCATCGACCCATGCACCAAGAGGTTGCCAGTTCGATTCCTGGTCAGGCACATGCCCAGGTTGTAGGCCCAATCCCCAGTGTGGGGCATGCAGGAGGCGGCCAGTCGATGTTCTCTCTCATCGATGTTTCTATCTCTCTCTCCCTCTCCCTTCCTCTCTCTCTCTAAAGATCAATAAAGAAACAAAATTTTTTTAAAAAAGAAAGAAACACAGCATCTTGGGTTCACCCCAGACCTACTGAACCAGAATCTGCCTTTCAACATGATCCCCAGGTGACTCTCATGCAAAGATTTTTTTAAAGCATGGATCCAGCACATCTTTGTATACCAAGTATTTTTTCTTCTTTTTTTTTTTTAATCCTCGCCCGAGGACATTTCTCCATTTTTTGTACAGATAGAGTGGGAGGAAGAGAGAGGAAGAGAGAGAGAGAGAGAAACATCGATGTGAAAGGGATACATCGAGCGGCTGCCACCCGCACGACCAACCAGGGCCGGGGACAAACTGCAACCGAAGTACGTGCCCTTAGCAGGAACCGAACCCGGGTCTCTCCGGACCGCAGGCCGACGCTCTAACCGCTGAGCCAAACCGGTCAGGGCTGTACACGAAGTATTTATGAACCATCTTTCAGTATTTTTTTCATTGTTGGTTTGGGTCCTCTGAGAATCAAATGCCGAGATGGTAT